AAATACATCACGTAGGAGGGACACACAGCACCAGGATTTCCGTGCTCCCTTCTCAGCTCTGCTGTACTGTCAGTTCTGGCTGACTTACACGCGAAACAGTGCTTTTTAGGTTCCTGGGAGTATTGGGGGCACCCAGTCATGTTTACAAACGAAAAGGCTCATGGCCCTCGAAACTCCCTTCCTTTTAGGCCTTTCCTAAGAAGCTTGTGGCCTTCTCCACTTGGATCGACCGGACACGCTGGGCCAGGAACACCTGGGCCATGTTAGCCATCTTCATTCTGGTTATGGCAAATGTGGTGGACATGGTGAGTTCCTGCTGTCCTTTTGAAGGGGCACTCCATGACATGGGTTTGGAGTAGCATTAGGTTCCTGAACCGATCATCCTGGCCAAACGGAGGGGACCTCTCCGTTTCCTCTCCCCAGGAGACCTCAGAGACTAACTTGTTTCCCCAACTCCTCGCTCCCCCAGAGTTCAAGCACCCAACATCCTGTGCCAGGTGTTTTACATACAATGACTCACTTAATTTTTTAAAATGTTATTTATTTTTTATTTTTCTACCACAGTTTACATTCATGGCTTAATCTCGATAACAATCCCGAGGTCAGTATTATTAACTGTAGTTTCATATGAAGAACTAGTGCTGAGAGGTAATTCACTTGTTTTAAGTCATACAGCCTGTAAGTGAGAGTCAAGAATTGAGGCAGGTCTAAACCCCAGTGCTGTGTGTCCTCCCCTGCGTCTCGCTGCTCCAGGGGTACGCCTGTAAGGGCTCTGCGCGTGTCACGTATTCCCTGCAGTGTGGCTGGTGCCAGGTATCTGTCAGGACCAAGGGAGGCAAACCTCTTCCCATAAAGGAGTTCTCCTGTTTGGCCTTCATCCATTTGAGCACGGCCAGACCGTCCTAGAGCTGGGTCACTGGGGAGAGCAGCTACAAGGCCCAAGTGGCTGAAGGCAGACAAAATCCTCTTCTCTGCTGTCCTTAGTTTATGGAGAAGCCGTGGGTTCCAGGAGGCAGTGGCCAGATGCTTTCTTGGGGAGAAGGGAAAGCAGTTGGAGGCCGAGATCTGTTGATTCGGAGCCACCAGTCATTTATGGAGCACTGGGTTCTGGGAGCCATAGCTGCCGTTCTCTTGCCAGTCGTCACGGCTCCCACCAATTTTAGTGGTACTGTAGACACTTTTTAAAAATCCTACTTTTCCAAATATTATGTGGAATCATTTACTTTATTTTCTTTAACGATCTGAGCACAGGAAAAACTCAGCATGGAGACTTACTGTGGCAGCTGTACAGGTGACACGGCCCGAGGGCCAGCTGCTCTGGAACCTCACATGCCCCTGGGTGGCACGGCACCCACAGTGCAGGGAAGAAAAGCCCCATGCTCTTTGCATGTCAGAACACACCTGAGAGCTGGTGCCTGGATCTGGGGACCAGTGTTTAACAAAGTCATGGACACTGTAGGATGCCTGGAGATCTTGACACACTGGTGGAGGGTGAAAACCCAGGGAGGTAGGGAAACCTTTCACATGCTAGAATCCTGTGCTGGAACTTCCCCAAAGCCAGCCAAGCTCGTGAGTGAAGGTTACAGAAAGTAAGTCAGATTGTTTATGGATGCATTTTCTACTGACTACATCTGCCCAGGAGTGGGACTCATGAAAATTCCAGAAATGGAGGGTTTGAGCAGACTGGCACCATCAAGCAGCTGTGAGGTGTGGGTGACTGGCTGGCCCATGGCCCCTCTTTAACAGTGTGATGTGGGCAAGAGCACACTGGATTTGAACTCGAAGACTGGACTCCCAGCTCTGGCTTTGCAACTTGTAACTGCGCCACCCTGGGCAAGTCCAGCTTCCTTGAGCTTTCTCTACAATGGTGGCACTGCTAGGAACATGCAGGAAATTTCTCTGAACACCAAAAGGGATAATGGTAAAGCTGTTAGTAGGAATGACTAACATTTGTATTATTGTTCCTTGGTAAATTCTTGCACTCTTCCTTCTGGGTGTTTTGGAGGGAGTGTGGGAAGTGACAGCCTTCTGACCAGTCTGCTGTCCCCTTGACCCTGTGTTCTCCTCCATGGTCCTGGCCTCCAGCTGAGCTGCCTCCAGGACTACATGGGATCCAACAATGGCACCGCAGGGATGGCGACAGAGGATGGCTGCGTGGTGAACCCCAAGTATTACAACTATGTCGCTGTGCTGTCCCTCGTCGCCACCATCATGCTGGTGCAGGTCAGCCACATGGTGAAGCTCACTCTCATGCTGCTCGTCTCAGGCGCAGTGGCTGTCATCAACATTTATGCCTGGCGCCCCATCTTCGATGAATATGACCGCAGACGTTTCCAGGAACATGAGTAAGATGAAACATGTTTGGGAATCTGGATTTTCTCCTTCCTTCCAAGTCCCAAGCACCCAATTCAAAGTCATGGGTTTGCACCAAGGTGGCGTTCTGTCTCTGCTAGGACTCAGCAAAGGCTTATATGGGAATCGGGGTTCATGGCTGCTCACAGAGGTGCCAATGAATGGTTGTGAATCTGGGGCAGATCTTCCCATTCCTGAGGAGTAGAAGATCTGCTTGCCTCAGGGTTTGGCTGGGCACCAGCCTCTTGTACTCAGATGGGGCCTGAGTATGCTACTGTCTGTCCAACAGCTTTCCTATGGTCGCCTCAGGGAAGATGCAGATCCTCTCCACTCCTGGGCTTAATGGCACCGGCAGGTAAGGTGACTGCGTTCCCTCTTGGTCTGCTTTTTTGGCTCCTTTCCTCTAGAGCCAGGGAATACTATAAGCCAGAGCCCCACGATCTCACCCTCCAAAGGCATGTGATATGGGATGTTCAAGTGCAGAAGTGAGTATGTACTTCTTTCTAAATAAGGGCTGCAGCAGAGGGAGAATGATTTTGGTATGGACCTGGTCAACCAGAGTCGGAAGAAAGCTTGGAGAGCAGCAGCCACACGGTTTAGAGGGTGGGATAAAGAGGCAGGGATGAGGGGAAGAGAGAAGTCAAATGGATGTGTTGCATTAACTGGCAGGCAGGACAGCCAGCAAGAAACTGAGAAAAGAGCACTGCCTTCGATCTGGAAGATCTGGGTTCTTAACCCACCGCAGTAATTCTCTGTGGGGCTGCAGACAGCCCAGTTTTCCTGAATCTGTTTTATCTCTTAAGGAGCATGGTGGTCTAGAAGCTCTCCAAGGTCCCTTCTAACTCTAAAGTTTTAGAATTTTTATTTCAGTGACCCGACTAGGATTAAGTAAGTTTAAAAAAAGGTTACTAAACAGAAGATGTGTAGAAGGCTTGAATAGGTCCTTCACAAAAGAAGAAATCTAAATGGCCATTAATAAGTAAAAGGCATTTAAGTAATCAGGAAATCCAAATTAAGACCACCACAAAGACCATTACACCCCTACTACTCTGGCAAGGATTAAATCTGATAATACCAAGTACATTGGTAACTCATACACTCATGAGCGGAACATAAATTAGTACAACCACTTTAGAAAAGCATTTGGAATAATTTAAAATAGACCCATGAGCCAGCAATTTCACTGCCACACATGTACCTTAGAGAAACCCATGTACATATATATGTTCCAGGACATGTGTATAAAAATTAATAGCCACAGACATACACACATCTAAGACAAATGAAAACAATCCAGACTATATAAACGGTGAGTGGGTATATAAATTATGGTATATTCATGCAATAGAATACTAATAGCAATGAAAATAACTATATAGCTCCATGCAAAAATTGTACCCTGATCCCATCACCGTGATGGTAATCTCTCCCTTTTCAAATTCTTACATGGTTGTAGCTTACATGGGATCAGCCAGGTGATGCTGTTTTATCAAACATCTGGGGAGCAGCCCTGGTGAGAATGCCAAGTGCAGCCAGGAAGGGCCAAGGTTGGCTGGCTCTTAGGAGCCCAGTGGGAGGCAGTGAATGTGAAGGTGCTCAAGGAACTGGGAATTTAGGGCTTAGGGTAACAGGAAAGAGCACACACCAGTTGGAATAAAACACCTTTCAAGAGGGCAGCACGGCTATCCTTTAAATTGAATCACTCTCTGCCCTGCAGGCTGTCCCTGGTACCTTCCAAGTACACGATGACAGTGATGATCTTCATCATGATGCTGAGCTTCTACTACTTCTCCCGCCATGTAAGTGCCTGCACACCCTCTTCTTTTATTTTGCTTATAACCTATCAGGGCCTCCTGAGGCGTAGGACCCGGATCTAAGAACCCAAGCTCCTAAGGAATGCTGGTTTCCTTTACCCAGTATGGCATGTGGCCCTGTCAAGCCACCACCTTCTCCATTTTCTGTTTTTTTCCTTAGTGATACACTAAGCAAAAACAATTCTTAACCTCCTCCAGGATGCTGAAAGCTGTATGGGGAAGGGGCATCAGAGCCTGGATATAATCTCTATTCCCCAGGCCAGAAGCTCATGGATCTTCCCTCACCCTGGCTCTGGGGGTCACTAATACAGGGAGCCAGAAGAGAAAGGGAAATAAACTGATGAAGTCTTTTGTTTGGTTAAAGGTGGGGAAGAAAGGAAGAAAGGGTAGGGAAGTATCTATGAAAGGGACTTACTGCTGTGTTAGCTCAAGTGCCACCCAGTGGTTGACCAGGGGAAGTACAGCCATCCCACGACACTTCTTGGCCAGCTGAAAATGGGACTCCTCCCTGGGCTAGGAGGTCCCCACCACCACCACCCACAAGTCAGATCTGTAGCTATAGTTAGGTTCCTGGAAGCTCCACACATCCAGAAGGCCCTCTGGGTCTCTGCTGTCATCACAGAGGCTGGGATCCTCACTGCGCTGTGGGGTGGCCTTTTTGATTAGGTTGATCAGACCTTCTGGGTCCTCTTTCCCTTGCCATGTAGCTGTCTTCCCAAGTTTTTTCATGTGGAATCCCTCCACTCAAGTTCCTGTTTTTCATCTTCCCATCAAATGGCCAGTTGAGAACATACACTTGCCTGTATCTGTAGGTGGAAAAACTGGCGCGGACACTGTTCTTGTGGAAGATTGAAGTCCATGACCAGAAAGAACGTGTTTATGAGATGCGACGCTGGAATGAGGCCTTGGTCACCAACATGTTGCCTGAGCACGTGGCACGCCATTTCCTGGGGTCCAAGAAGAGAGATGAGGTGAGGGGTGACCTCATGCTATGGCCTGGAGCCATGAAGTTGTGTGTCTTCATCTGGCTCTCTGCCAGGGAAGCACCTCCGAACCCAGGCCTTCTCATGATATGGCAGTGGGGCCTGCTACCTTGTTTCTGTGGGACACACACCTCTGAGGCCTCACTTTCTAATTCCACTCTACCTTTTCTTATACCTAGGGCTGTTACAGGAACTAGAGAAGCTATTTTTTTTTTTTTATTTAGTCAGAGCTGTGATGAGAGCTTTCTACTAATTCAGAGTTGGGATAATCTGGGGGATGCGTCGAAGGTCAATTCATTTCTGTAGCACGTTATTTAATTAGTTTCTTTGAGCACTCTGGCCCTGCCTTTTTAGGAGCTGTACAGTCAGTCTTATGACGAGATCGGAGTCATGTTCGCCTCCCTGCCCAACTTTGCCGATTTCTATACAGAGGAGAGCATCAATAATGGTGGCATCGAGTGTCTGCGCTTCCTCAACGAGATCATCTCAGATTTTGACTCTGTGAGTGCCCATCCTGCCACACACAAAGCCAATTGGTTTCAAATTGTATCTCAGGACAGGCTACAGAAGTCAGAGAGAAGCTGGAGTTACTCTAGCTGGCTACACTTCCCCATATAAGCCCTCCCTATAATGTATGGGTTTCCACCCCCATCTGGAAACGCTGGGTCTGAGGGGGTGAGATGGGAGCCTGGGAAATCACCTAAAAGTTCTTAGGATAAAGACGGTCCAAAACAGGATCCTCAGGTCCTTCTGATTCCCCCCGCCTTCAAATTCAGATTCATTAAACATTGACTAGGTAACTTGTACATCAAGGGAAATGGTTTTACATACATGTTCCACCACCCTAGGAGACTAGCAGTTATCCCAATGTTGAAGTTGTAGAAACTGAGGCTCAGAAAATCAGGAAGTTTGCCTAGGATCACGTGGCAGATAAATCACAGAATAAAGCTTTTATAAAAAAGCATCTTTTGGACATTTTGTGGGGATCACTGTAAACAGGAAAATCTGTCATTTAGTTGGCTCATTCATCTCAATTGACTACTGACATTTTTCTCTTTCATAATACTGGCTTTTAGCTTCTAGACAATCCCAAATTCCGGGTCATCACCAAGATCAAAACCATTGGCAGTACCTATATGGCAGCTTCAGGAGTCACCCCAGATGTCAACACCAACGGCTTTACCAGCTCCAACAAGGTACCTAACCACCTCAATGGCTAGAAAGGAGATGGGGGCTCTCCTCCCAAGGCAGCCAACATCAAGCACTGTTGTACACAGGTCCTTTGCACTAGGACCAAGCAATACAAATTTAAAATCGCATTTACTGAGAACGTGTAATGAGCAAAGAGAGAATAGACCACAAACAGCAGTCACTACTGTGGACTTCAGTCAGGCATTAAGATGCTGAGTTTAACTGTGGCCATGCTACCTTCTACACTGTCATAAGGACTGGGCAACAGAACAGGTACACAATTATGGAACAGTGAAATTCAGATCAGGGAGGTGGTTTTGTTAAGTTCAATGAGACCTGAGAAGCCAGCTCTCTTTAGTGACCAGAAGGAGAGAACATGAGCTGTGGGGGTCCTAGTCTCAAGGGCTGTTCTTAAAACATACCCTTATGGATGAAGTTGAGGAATCAAAACAACAACTATCCCAAGTTTAAAGACCGGGTTCAGATGAAGTGAAGGGACTGACCTCCAGAATGTTGTTAAGGAAACAACAGTTTGGTGAGCAGGCTGCTGTGGGCCCTGATGCTCTCGCTGCTGCTCTCTGGCACAGGAGGAAAAGTCAGACAAGGAGCGATGGCAGCACCTGGCTGATCTGGCTGACTTTGCACTAGCCATGAAGGATACGCTCACGAACATCAACAACCAGTCCTTCAACAACTTCATGCTGCGCATAGGTAAGGTTCTAGGCTCCCTTCTGATACAGGGGACTGAGCAAATCAACAGGAAGGATGAGAGGCTTAGAAAGACCTAATGCATTTAAGCTAGGGAGAGGATCATATACTCTTAGACCTGGAAGGGACCTTTAGTCCTGGCTCTTCTAGATACTCAGATGAAACTTGGATGAAGTGCTAGTCAGCTATCCCTGCCCCCCAGAGTTTACAATGACAGCTTCCTTCTGAATCCTCCTGGGAAGTCAGTTTACTGTCTACCTTTCTAAGAATCTTCTGTGCCTGCTGAGGGCTTTGCTCACCTGCTACCCCCTACGGGAATGTGGCAGAGAAGGCTTACCCCTGATGAAATCACAGGAGACTAAGTACCAGGTATGTGTTAGAAACTGGCAACTTTTGTTAATCAGCATATTGGGGGTAGCTGACAATTTGCCAAGCACATGGCGAAGGCAGGATAAATATGAGACAAGCTGAATGAGGAATGTTATATAATTCAGAGCTTTGTGGTAGGGGTCAAGGGGCAAATTCTGAGAGGAGTTGGTAGCTTCTGAGAGGTTTGGCTCTGTTGGACTTTATCCTCTACCCTAGGCATGAACAAAGGTGGGGTCCTGGCTGGAGTCATTGGAGCACGAAAACCACACTACGACATCTGGGGCAATACAGTCAACGTAGCCAGCAGGATGGAGTCTACAGGGGTCATGGGCAACATTCAGGTCTGTCCAGCAACAGAGCTGAGCATGTGGTCAGGGAATGAGAACCAAGTAGGGATGGTGCATGTTCTGCTGTGCACTGTCTCCTTCTCACTGGCCCAGAAGATGGGGTTGGCAGTACTGAGAGTAAGGGCAGGAGTGGGATGAGATGCCTCCATGGCTGCTGCAGGAGAAAAGACGTCCACCCCGTCTGCAAAACTTAGGAATAAGTTCTGGGTAGTAATATCCAGCCTCTTGCAACTCCCCCAGACCACCTTGGTCTGTGTTGACTGGGCCTGGCAGGAAAGCTCTACAAAAGGGGCAAAGGAGACAAGAGCAGGGAGTTAAAAGTTCCCAAACAATGGTGCTGCCACATAGGCTGTCCAAGGAGAGAGCCTCAGGAGGTCTGGAGAAGGGTGGACAGGGCCCTCTGGGACATATGTGGGGACCATCTAGGTAGCCTTGGTCTAGGCTCACTGTCTAACTCCAACCTCTTGTACTTGTGCTCCCTCTACAGGTGGTAGAAGAAACACAAGCCATCCTTCGGGGGTACGGCTTCCGCTTTGTGAGGCGAGGGCCCATCTTTGTGAAGGGGAAGGGAGAGCTGCTAACCTTCTTCTTGAAGGGACGTGATAAGCCAGCCGCCTTCCCGAACAGCTCCTCTGTGACACTGCCCCACCAGGTAGTAGACAACTCCTGAACGGCCGCGAGCCCCACAGCAGCCCAGAGGAGAAGGGAGAATGTATTTTTTGGACTCAAAGGCCTTGGGAAAGGACAAATGACCAAGTCCCAACATTCCCAAATTGTTGACGTGCACACACATAGACTAGACATAAAACCTCAAGCCTTCACTGTTGTCAGCTCTAAGGGTGGCCACACTATTCCTCAGTGTGCCTGCAGCTTCCCCAGAGTAAGGGTCTTAGGCATAGTGCTGGACCAGCCCTTCCAGAGCCCTAGTTCTGACCCTGCAGAGGCCATGGCCACTGTGAGCAGGAATGTATCAGGTGTGACAACTTGCCTTTGCCGCTGGGAGCACAGGTGGGGAAGCGCAACTTAGGATGGGGGCTGGGCAGGGCCGCTGTGCCCATGAATGTCTGTTCCCAGCCGATGGGAAAGCAGTGCTTTTCCTTCTGAAGAGAGCACACGCTGGAGACCTGCTGTCTCCACAGGGTCAGAGTTCGGTACAGGGCCCTTCTCCTGCTGATCTTGAAAGGTTCTTCTGAACCCATCAACTTAGTCAGGAGAGCAGAAAGTGCAATATTCCCTTTAACCTGGGGGGGGGGGGGATTTATTTCTGAAAGAAAAATATATCAACAGATCTACATTTATATTTTTAACTTTCTGTTAAAAACACTTTCCGATATTGCCTTGCCTTTTGAGCTCTTGCTACAGTCGCCTTTGCTATTGCTTTAAAAGAGAATTTACAGGTATTGATAAAGAACAAGACTTTTATTAAAAGCTTTCTTCAACTTGAATGTAATCATTGTGGAAATCCTGTTAATACCTCTCTTCTGAGAAGTGCTTTGCTAACTAAGACATCTCTTGTATTCTGAAGCTGCTTTCATGGACCTAGCTGGAGTTCCCATACTTGTCAGGTTACTTCCTGGTCATCAGGTCTAGGAAGTGACCATTTTAAAGTGAGTGTAGCCTGGCTGATATGGCTCAGTGGTTGAGCATTGACCCATGCACTAAGAGGTCGCCAGTTCAATTCCCGGTCAGAGCATATGACTAGGTTGTGGGCCAACTCCCCAGTGGGGGGCATGCAGGAGGCGGCCAATCGATTTCTCTCTCTCTCTCCCTCTAAAATCAATAAAGAAAAAAAAAATTAAAAAAATAAAAATAAAGTGAGTGTGGACCTTGGGTAGTAACAACTCCTATTTGTGACTGGCCAAAGGGGGACAGGAATTGAGATAGCAGGACCTGGCCAGCTGGACACATCTGTAAATTGACAGCAGATACAAGGCCATGGTTATAAAGAGAGATGGTGCACAGCCATGGAGGAAGAGGGAGGGTTGCCCGTGCTTTTTTTTCCAGGAGACTTAAAAAGTCAGCTCTCTACTGAGATGTTTTAGGAAACAAGATATTAGAGACATAGAACCCTGATTATTTAATTTTATCCGTACTACTTTCTCACACCAGTCTTCAAAAGCAGTAGTCTAGAATACACTGCTCCAAACCAAAGACTAAACACACATCGCTTCATAACTAGGATTCATCTCGGTGTATGATCCAAGAGTGTTCTAAGCATTTTCTTTTGAAATGTCTCAGGTAGGAAAATGAGGCAGAATTAAAGTTTCCATAAAAGCTAGAGATGCTCTTCAGTTGAACAGCATATACTTTCCACTTTCACAAAACGCCTTCTACAACCCACTCTGATTTTCAGCTAAAATGAATGAGCAAATCAGTATCTCCAAGAACAGATGATCTTGAGCATTTAACCAGGCAATCATGGAGAACTGTCCAAAGTGCCAGTGTCTCGACTCAAACTTGCCCCTTCATCATCACGATGAGGTGGGCATGTCTTCATTGTAAGGACGTCCCCAGGACCTTGCCTGGGGCTATATAGAGCACTTGTTTACTCACTTTTGATGTGTTCTCAATGGAAATAACATTCTAGTAGATCAGGCTCATATCCAACTTTTCTTCTCTTCTTGCAAATGAAGCAAACACTTGATGTAGGGGCTTTGTACAAAATAGGTTTTCATGGGAGGCTCGCTGTTCTTCCCATGAGGCAGACAGTGCGTCCATCCCTAAAAAGGAAAATTTAATCAACCTCACCTAGTCCAATTGGGAGAATCAGAGCTGGATCACTGACAGTCTGGACCTAAGTAACTGTGGTCTGGCCCTAATTGGACCAATGTAATTTTGAGATGGGGAACTTAGAAGTCTCTGCCCAGGGAAATAAAAAACCAACTGTATACCCTGGCCAGTGTAGCTCAGTTGGCTGTAATTTCGATTCCCAGTCAGGGTACGTGTGGAAGGCAACCAATTGATGTTCTCTTTCCCCTCTCTCTAAAACCAATAAGCATGTCCTCAGTTTAGGATTACAAACAACAAAACCTATGGTATGAAACCTGTGACAGCTTCAACAATTCCTGCCTCCTAAAAACATTTTATCATAGTTTTCATCATTGCTCATGTCACACTGCTATGGTACACTTAACTGAAACAAGGTCACACAAGTAAAAATCTCAGCCTGTTCTGAAAAATTCCCATTTAGAGAACAATCTATAGAGAGCTTAATGTATACTGACTTTTCATGTCTATCTGGCTTCAGAGTGAAGTGAGTCTTTGGACTGTCTTCACCACTGTGACACTATGATTCAGCCTTGTTAGCTGTCTCTTCAAGAGCAGTCTCCAGTAAAAACAAAGATTATGCTTACAACTTAGAAAGAGAAGAGGGAACACTGGTAGAAACCAAACAGTCTTTGTATTTTACTGCTTTTATATACAATAAGCAGAAAAATACAAACAGAAGAAAGTATCTCAAGAGGTCCAACTGATGTATTCTGACTATTTTACTCTTTTTCACTCGAGTAACCCAGAGCTTTATTATATGATTTCTCCACTGAGGCATCCTCCCTCTTACCTTGATAAGTAACAGTGACGTCAGTTGGAAGGGTTCTTGTGATGTCCTTATACTGCAGTCTAGCACAAAACATAAAGGACTGGCCACTCAGCTCCGCTTTGTAAGTAAATGATAACAGGTTGCACAGAGAGTTTCTCTGCAAGGGCCCAGCCAAAAAGGCTGCAAAATCACTCTAATGGAGGTGGAACAAAAACAGATACAAAACACAGACAATTACACAGGCAGTGAGTGCCTATGACACTTCAAGCACTGCCTACCAAAAATAGGGCCCAATTAATTAGATTTCAGAGAAATAAAGGACAGAGAAAGGCCTGAAAAAAAGGACAATGATAGATTTATAAGATAAATGAGTCAGTGGCAGCCTAGGAAGGCCTGGAGGAAGCATTTACTAAGTGAATGGCCAAGGCGTGGGGGTGCAGGAGAGATACTACTTCTGCCAAAAATTTCGTTGGCTAAGATGCTTTGTGTCTGCGTACACATATCAATTTATCTGAGTAACACCCAGGAGCTTCAACATCATTCCAAATGCAGGGGGGAAATGCTAAGCTTGCAAAAGCCACTTATTCTCTACTACACTAATCCCTAGCTCAACTGCAACCCGAAGTAGGGTTGCAGGCAAAGACAGACAGTATTCCTCTGATACTACAGAAAATATTATTCTGCTTTGCACCTATACCCCAGGCTCAGCAAGGCACTGGCACACTCTCTGCTGAATAACAGTTCAGCAACTGCACTCTACTACTTTGTGAGGGGAAGAAAGGGTCAAATATAAATGCCTGAAGACCACCACTGGGGAATGAATAATCCCTTAACCAGTAGTCATACTTCAACATCATCCAGAGTTTCAACAGGGAAGAAAAGAGAGAAAAATAGCTTGTACATAAATAATAAACCAGTATTATGGAAAACAGTCAAACTTCTGACTCAGTTATATAAAACCTCTTTAAAGAACTTGACCTTTTCAAGCCTATCCTGGACTCATCCAAGGCTATATAAGATTCCAGACAAGTACCTGAAGTCGATCTGCCTGGTACTTTCTCCCAGCGTAAGCATTTAGGTATTCGCAGAGACTGAACAGGAATTGCTGAATATTAGTCTGTAAATATTTTGCAGATATCTCCTCTAGGGGAATGAATACTGGAATTGAATGGTGATGTATCCGAAGTGGTTTCTGTATGACAAGGTCCACAAAATAGGAATCCAGCAGGTTCCCCTCAAAAGCAGTGTTGATGGAAACACAAACTCCTCGGCTGGTCAGCTTCCCACTGATCCCTGAGGCAAACAAGACAACATCCCTCAACAAATGTCAGGCAGAGTTAGTACCTTACTCATCTGTGCATCTGTTGTTCCAGCACCACATAGGCTGTGCTCAAATGTTTGTTGGATGAATGAATATCATAGACCATTTTCCTCTTGTTAACTCTGGCTCACTCTGAGTTTCAGTTAAAATCATGGGCCCTGGCCAGTGTGGCTCAGTGGGTTGAGCATCGACCTGTGCATGGAAAGGTCACAGGTTCGCTTCCCGGTTGGTCAGTGCACATGCCCAGGTTTCAGGCTCAATCCCCAGTTGGGGTTCATGCATTAGGCAGCCGATCGATGTTTCTCTCTCCCTCCCTCTCTCTCTGAAATCAATAGAAACATATTTACAAAAAAACAAAAAATCCTAAATATCAAATTACTGAGGAAGAGATTTTGAAATTTTCAGTTTACCTATTCTCTTTTTTTTGAGTGTTAATTTATGATAGTCCCCAGTTCTTCCCACAATCCTCTTGTGACATAAATAATGGGGAGAATAATCCCCATTTTAATGGTGAAACCGAGACCTGAGGCGTTCAAGCTATCTGACCAGTGGCATAAAGCATGCCAGCAGTAAAGAAGAGTCTAGTACAAGATCTGGCACACGTTGAATAGCGAAAATGAATAGCTGAAATCAGCTACCAATCAACTGCTACAAAAAGAGGCCTATATTGTAGGTAAAGATGCCTACAAATAGCATGCCAGCTTTGTATGTATACTGAGGGGGCAAAACCAATGCTTAAGAAGTCAGTCCAGGATTAATAATACATCTAGCAAACTAACTCAGTAGAGACAAGAGACCTAGACTGAAACAGGTTAGAAACAGGTATACCTGTAAAATAATATGCTTGCAGAATGGCTTTCACATTTTCTTGTTTTTTTTCCAAAACTTCTTGCTCACTGACTTCAAATGTTTGGTCAGGTTCTACACTGGCTTCAACCTGAAAGACATAAGCAAATCAACTGGGTACAAAGGAGCATAATCCAAAGTCTCTGCCCACACCTAACTGGAATAAAGCTGAATGCATAGTTTTATTACATAATGAATGAAGAAATGCTACAGTGGTCTACACTGCTAAGAATTCCTAGCAGAGGAAGAATCTTATGGGTCACAGTACTAGGAATCAGAAGCAGAAATTATACGGGCCGGAAGACTATTGTGAGGTGAAAGAAAGGGTGTGAGCCAAACAGTTGCAAAGAGGCAAGGCTAGAAAGTTGGTTTGGTCAGACTGCAAGCTTTCAAGTGCCAGGATAAGAAATACTCTAAGATGTACACTTAGAGCTATGGCCCAATAGACGGTTTCAGGCTAACTCTCCCTCTGAGAACTACGCAAGCTGGATGAAATTCCAAAACTAAATAAGCAAACAAAATTGTCTGAAGGCATTAGAGAACCACCTAAATAGCTAGACTGAAGGTTAAAGATAAATGCTCTGAGCTTAGCTGGGCTTTCCCTGCAGCTTCCCCCTCTGAGCATCTGATATGCATCACAAGGCACAGGGGCCAAACAGAAAGCTGTAGTCTAGACATTACAGCAGTCCCAATGAGAAAAACTAGAGGCCAAGGTTACCAAAGCAGCCTTTTTATGGGCCAAAATCCCTTAGAAAAGGAAGCCCAATATTCTGTAGGCAATGTACCCTCCAGGCATTTGCCAATTCCTAAACTGTATATGTATTACTAGGTACTCAGAAAATGCTAAAAGTTAAAAGGCAAAGCACAGATTATGGCACAAAAACATCTGGAGTTCAGGGCCTGCCAAGGAAGAGGGGCCTTGATATACCTGTCCCCAGCACACACCCAAACTTTCAACTGATGGCTCTTAAAAAAAAAAGGGGGACTACACCCTAGAAGTCAGGGCAAATAAAAAATAGACCACCACGACTGGATTAAGATGATTCGTCCATATACTATTTGCCTATCAGGAAAAAAAAATGAAATTCACTCTGGAGGAAGAGAACACAGTACAGAATTCCTCTATTTTTTTCATATACAATACTAACTGAATAAAAATTTTTTTTTACCAGACATTTAAAGAAAGAGAAACAGATGACTGAAAACCAAGGGAAAAGAAGACAAAAGAAACAGATCCAAGGGGATTCAGTTATCTGAGTTATCAGGCAGATGAAAATAGATTCAGTGATGGAGAACTCATACCATAGAGTCAGAATCTGTAACAATGAATCAGATGAAAATCCTAGAACCAAATCCCAGAACCAAATAAATACAGCAACTAAAATGAGAAACTTAAGTTTAAATGCCAACTAAACACAAAAAACTAGGAATGACATATATTTTCATATCCAGATTTCTATCCAGAGAGTTAGAAAATTGGTAGATATAGGTCACAATAAAAAAAAACACCAAAAAACCCCCCAAAACAACTCCATACAAAGAGCCCAGAAATAGAGGAAAAGAATGAGGCAGATGCATTTAAAAGCACACTGGTGCCTGGCTGGTGTGGCTCAGTTGATTGAGCGGCGTTCCCATGGACTGAGAGGCCCTGGTTCGATTCCTGGTCAGGGCACATCCACGGGTTGAGGGCTCAATCCTGTGGGGGTATGCAGGAGCAGCAGATTGATGTTTCTCTCTCTTTCTCTCTCCTTTCTTCTCTCATACGAAAAAAAAAAAAAATCAATAAAAACATATTAAAAATAAAATAAAAGCACACTAGCCATGCCTGGCCGGTGTGGCTCAGTGGTTGAGCATCGACCCGTGCAGCAAGAGGTCACTGGTTCGATTCCTGGTCAGGACACATGCCCAGGTTGTGGGCCAAACCCCCAATGGGGGGCATGCAGGAGGCAGCCAGTCAATGTTCTCACTCATCGATGTTTCTATCTCTCCCTCTCCCTTCCTCTCTCTCTAAAAATAAATAATAAAGAAAAAAAATTAAAAAAACAACAACAACAAAAAAAACACACTGGCCACATTTTAAAAAATAAACTAAAAACATCAAGTAATTAATTTAAGAAGCTCTACAAATGTCAAACAGGCTCAAAAAGGAAAACTACTCCTAGCCCCATAATGATATAACATTGTTAAAACCCAAACACAGACAGAAGCATAAAAGCAGAGGGAAAAGGCACATATTCAAACACAAAAACTAACACCTGACAGAAACTACAGAACTAGAAGACAACAGAATGATATATCTAAAGCAGTGATTTTCAACCAGTGTGCCTCAAGAATTTTTAAAACATGCAATACGTGACTCTTTAGTCAAGGGCACTGACCTCTTTTCCCTTAGATTGTCAAATAAAATAATGACAACTGCCAGCACAATATCTGTCCTGTATGAATAAATCAAAGTTATACCTTTTTTTGTTAGATCAGCAAAAAAATATTTTTTGATGTCCCACAGAATTTTAGTAATGTGTGCCATGATATGAAGAAGGCTGAAAATCGCCAATCTAAAGTGTGAAAGAAAATAATTTCCAATCTATAACTCTATACCTACCAAAAATATCCTTAGAAAATGAAAAACATAGTAAAAGAAGGGTGTTTTCAAACAAAGATAGATAATTTATTGCCAGTAGGCTTACAATAAAAGACATAATAAAAGAAGCTACGTATGCTGAGGGAAAATAATCCCAGATGGAAATCTGAATATGCAGGATGTAATAAAAAACACTGAAAAGGGTAAATATGTATGTAATTCCAGTGACTATACAAACAACAAAAATGTGTCAGATGAGTTTAAGCAGATGTATATTTAAATATATGACAACAATAGCATGAAATATATGTGTGTGGGAGAAAGAGTCAAGATGTTAGAAGGTTCTGTATTATCTAGAAAGTTGAATAGGAAAAAAATATTGCATGTTTTCTCTAGGATAACCACTAAAAGAATAATGAATGAATGTATAATTAATTAGCTAATGGAGAAGTGAAGTAATAAAAAATAAAAACATCAATCCAAAAGATGGCAAGATAGGAGAAAAGAGAAACAGAACAAATAAGACAAATATAATAATAATATGGTAGGCGGAGATACAAATATGTCAGTAATCATATTACATGTTTATGGACTAAATATTCCAACTAAAAGACTGAGACTGTCAGACCGGATTAAAAATAGCTAACTATATACTACTTACAAGAGGAAGTATACCTTAAATATGAGGTCACTGAAAGTGGAAAGAAAAAATTTACCATGCAAACTCTAAACAAAAAGAGTTGTATTTATATTAATATCTGACGAAGTTGACTTTAAGCAAAAAGTTTAACTAAAAAAAAAAGGGGACATGTCATAATTATAAAAGGTTAACTAGGAAGATATAACAATCCTAAATTGTTTGTACAGCAAAAACAGAATGAAAAGGAAACAATTACAAATCCCCAATCACATGGGAGATTTCAACACATGTCCCCAGTAACTGATACAACAAGTATAGTCATGTGCCACATAATGATGCTCCGGTCAATGATGGATCACATACACGACAATTATCATATACGATTATACTGAAGCTGAAAAATCCCGATTGCCTAGTGACAGTAATATCCTAGGCTTTCACATTCACTCACCATGACTCACCCAGAGCAACTTCCAGCCCTACAAGTAGGCTCCATTCAAGGTAAGTACCCTATACAAGTGTACCATTTATTATCTTCTAAAAAATATTCTTTATTGTTGAAAGTACTACAGATGTGCCTTTCCCCCCCATCGATCCCTTCTTCCCCACTCCTGCCCTCTCATGCTTTCCCCGCACTATTGTTTGTGCCCACTGGTTATGCATAGAAGTTCATTGGTTTATCTCTTGCCACCTCCCCTCCCCCTTCCCTCTCATGTTCATTAGTCTAACAACCAATTTGTACTTCACGATCCCTTCACCTTTTTCACCCATCCTCCCAACCCCCCTCTCTTCTGGCAACCAACAAAAAGTTTTCTGTACCTTTTATACCGTATTTTTACTGTATTTTTCTATGTTTAGATATGTTTAAATACACAAGCGCTTACCACTGTGTTACAATTGCCTACAGAATTCAGTACAGTAATATGTAATATACATATGATGGTAGCCTAGGAGCAACAGGCTGTATCATATAGGCCAGGTGTGTAGTAGGCTATACCACTTAGGTGTGTGTAGGTGCTGCCATTGCCACGATGTTCACACAACAATGAAAATCGCCTAATGATGCATTTCTCGGAACATATCCCCACTGTTAAGCAGTGCATGACTGCAGACAAGTCAGTCAGTGAGGATATAAAACATGATGAACACATTTGGTCTATCTGACATATATACCACAGTATACAACAAATGCAAAATCCTCTGTTTCACACCATATATAAAATCAATTCAAGATGGACTATAATTCTAAAAGTAAAACAATAAAGCTTTTAGAAAATAACAGTATCTTCATGATCTCAAGTTAGGCAAAGACTTAGTATTAAGAAAACAAGAGCTTTCATTAGACTCCTAAATCAAACTTCATTAAAACACAGACTTTCTTTTTCATCATGAGACACCATCAGAGAGTGAAAAGGCAAGCCACAGTGTAAGAGAAGATTTGTAACATATACAACAAAGAACTCATTCAAAATATGTAAGGAATTCTACAATTTAAGAAAAGACACACAACCCATTAGAATTTTTGCAAAAGACTTGAAAAGTATACTTTACAACAGAAGGCTGCAGTGTCCAACAGAGGTACTTAACATCATTACTCATTAGGCAAATTCAAATTAATCCACAATGAGAGATACTATTACACTCCCACCAGAATATCAAATTTTAAAACCAACAATATCAAGTATTGATAAAGATGCAAAACAATAGAAAGCTTATATATACACACTGTTGCTGGGAATGTAAAATTGGTGAAATCACTTTCAAAACACTTTGGCAGTATTTACTAAAGCTAATATGCATACCTTGTGACCCAGCAATTCTACCAAATCCACACCTAATAGAAAAATGCATATTTTTACACCAAAACACAGGAGCAAGAATGTTCATAGTAGCATTCTTCTTGTTTTATCCTTACCTAAGGCTATGTCCTTTTCTTTTTTAAATGGATTTTACATTTAAAAAAAACTTTTTTTTATTTTTTGTTAATCCTCACTTGAGGATATTTTCCCATTGATTTTAAGATAGACTGGGAGGAGGGGAGAAAGAGAAACATTGATGTGAGAAAGACACATTGATTGGTTGTCTCCTGCATAACCCCCACCAGGGTGTGGGACTGAACCTGCAACCCAGGTACATGCCTTTGACCAGAATTAAACCTGTGACCCTTGGGTCCACAGGCCAACACTCTAACTGTTGAGCCAAACCAGCCAGGGAAAGATATGTTTTTTAAAATTTATTTTAGAGAGAGGGAGGTGGGGGGGGGGGCATCAATGCGAGAAAGTGATAGGTTGTCTCCCATCCGCACCCTGACTGGTGATCAAACCCAAAACCTGGGTATGTGCCCTGACAGGGAAATGAACCTTTGACCTTTTGGTGCACGAGACAATGCTCCAACCAACTGAGCCACACCACCCAGGGCAGCAGCATTTTCTTAACAGCCCCGAAGTAAAATAGCCCCAATAACCCAAATGTCACCAACAGAATAATAGGTAATAAAGTATGGAATATTCATGATATACTATATAGCAATAAAAAAGAATGACCACTATATGCAACAACATGGGTGAATCTCAGACATAACATTCAGGTGGAAAAGCCAGACATAAAAGAATTTTATACTTTTAACATTTATATGAAGTTCAAAAACAGGTAAAACCAATGTATGATAGAAATCAGAACAGTGGTTACCTTGAAGAAAATGGAAGGATACAAGAGGGAGACTTCTAGGGCACTGATAATATCCTCTGCTTTGATCTGTGTGGTACAGGGTGTGTTCACTTTGTAAAAGGTTCCGCAGATTTGTACAGTTTATATATATTTACTTTTACATATTTTTTACTTTATAAAAAGTGAACGGCCCAACTGGTATGGCTCAGTGGATTGAGCATCATCCCATGGACTGAGAGGTCCTAGGTTTGATTCCCTGTCAGGGCACATGCCCAGGTTACAGGCTTGATCCCCAGTGGGAGTCATGCAAGAGGCAGTCAATGGTTTCTCTCTCACACTGATGTTTCTCTCTCTCGCTCTCTCTCCCTTCCTCTCTAAAAAAGTCAATAAAAAACATATTTAAAAAAAAAAAAAAAGTGAAGGGAGGGAGGGAAGAAGAGAGAGAGAAGTAAAGTGAAATGGAAGAGATGTGGAAAGGTGAGAAAAGAAGGCTGACCATATTCCATGGGCAATGAATGGTTATTGAAGGTTTTTGAGCAAGAAATGCAGTGTTTATGAAAGCATTTTCTTGGCTGTACAGGATTTACTGGAGAAGTACAAATACTAAAGAGAACCAACCAGCAGAACATAGCAACAATCCTGGTATCCAAATAACCTGATAAATATTTATAACAGACGTGGATAACACCTGACCTACTGCAATAGAGTGGAGGAGAAAGCAGTGACTAAAAGAAAAATCAACAGTTCTTGCAGGCTAGACTTGGGCAAGACAGAAAACTGAAAAAAGGAAAGAGTCCATTTACTGTGAGGCTTCAAGTGTGGGTAACAGAAAAATGGCACTAAAGAGAAAAGTACTAAAGACTCAAGTCAGGCTGAGATTGAGGTAATGGGTTCATGTCTGAGGGCAAGTTAAAACTGGGCCATCAGTAATGCCTGACAATTGTTAGTTGATAGTGGTATCAGCAGAGAATCTACAGGTTTGATAAGGGATCAAGGACTGAAATCAGTCACAGGCAAAATACATACACATTTGCAAATTCCCAGATCATGTTCTTTACACCCTAGGAAAGCCAGTCAATAATCATCCTTCTACTCACTCTGGCTTGACGATGTTTCACTTCAGCCCTCAGTTTATCTCGCAGACTTCTCAGTTTAACAATCTTGCCCTCAAGAGCTCTTTCTGCTGCCTGTGCTCCCTGTGGCTCTTGAAATTTTTTACGGGATCTAGTCTGTAGTCTTTCTAAGTGAGCTAGAACACCTGAAGAAAGTAAAAAGAATTTATCAAGAAGCCAAGGATTTCAAACTCTGGCAGCAGGAAGCATTTCAGGGGAGAACAAAGGGTGACCCTTTTTTCAGAACTCTGTGGCTAGTTAATTGTTAGACATTGGCCCCAATTTATGAAACCAGGAGAACTTACAACACAAATAAAAGATCAGCAACCTCTTAGCCTGAACACTGGTGTACAAACAAGCAGTCCCTAACTAGGACAACGTCCAAAAAGAGCATTATCTGAATATAGCTAATCTCAGTTATTCATGATAATAACCCAGAGGAAAACATAGACACCAAATTCACTGACTCTCTTAGAAACTGTTTTCAAAACTGTAGACTTGTTTTTTTAAATTGGTTTTTATGCATGTTTCCCAAAGTGCTAATGCATAATTCTTTGAGGTTCTGAAAAATATTAGTGCAGAACTAAAATGACACAAACTAAAGGGAACTGTCCACAAATATTACTGGGTATTAGAGAGGAACACAAGCTCACCCATGGACAGAAACTCAGAGGCAAATTTCAGTTCTCTAGAAATTGACTAAGAACCAATATAGGTGGCACCTGGTTTTACTGCGCTTCACAGATGTTTTTGTTTTTATCCTTACCTAAGGATATGTTTGCATTTATCTTCAGATAGAGGGGGGTGGGGGGGAGAGACATCGATGTGAGAGAGACACATCCAATGGTTGCCACCCACACGACTCCAACCAGGGTAGACAAACTGCAACCAAGGTATGTGCCCTTAGTGGGAACTGAACCTGGTTCTCTCTGGACCACAGGTGGATGCTCTAACCGCTGAGCCAAATCGTCCAGGGCTTGCTTTTTTTTTTTTAAAACAAATTGAAGGCAACACCCCAAACCAGTAAAAAAGATTATGACTTGCTTTATTACAGTGGTTTGGAACTGAATCCACAGTATCTCTGAGGGATGCCTGTACAATAAAGGTCATATTTTCATAATGCTAATCAATGCTAAGAAAGCATCTGCTGAACACTTCCTACATTAACAACACAGGCTAGATGAGTTACTTGCAAAGCATGTTAAGAATGAAAACGTGTATTGCATATTTCTTTTATATAAGGCTTGTGTTAAATGCTTTGCGAAGCATGAAAAGAATTGCTTATCTAATTTCCACAACCACCACCACCACAATGCTGTTATTCACCTCCATGTGCCAGGTGAAAAAAACTGAAGGGAAGCAGGTAAAATTACTTGCCCAAAGCCACAGTATTTACAATGGCAGAGCCAGGACTCAAACCCAGATCGAACCAATGCCAAAGTCACTGCCTGCCACTGCCTCTCTTCCACAGGAGTAATGCATAAATGGCCCCCAAAAAGCTGAATAGAGAGAAAGAGACCTCATTGGCTGGAACTGTAGCTCTGAATAGAAACAATGAGCATATTATGAATGCAAACTATCCCTTTAAAAAGGGACAGGAGCCAAAAAAAAAAAAAAAAAAAGGGACAGGAGCCTACAAATACATGAAGTAATTTTCCCGTCTAATGATTTTAGCTGCCTGTCCCTTTAAGTAAATCTTCAATACAGGCATGCCTCCAGATAGTGCGGGTTCGGTTCCAGACCGCTGCAATAAAGAGAGTCCTACATTTTTGCAGGTGGAGGGTTTTGCCTTCAATTTGTAAAAACCGCAAAACCTGTGAGGCGCTATGGGGCGCATGCTTGTATTAGCTCCTTTCACTATTCTGATCCCCAACGGGACAGTTCGCACAACAGTTAGAAAAGGAAAGAGCTCTCAACCTGGGGGTCATCTTTGGGCAGCAGTAGTAAAGGGAGAAAGCAACCATCTGAATACCTCCTTTGGACTTGCCCTCTTGATTTAAAGTATTCGCCAGTTCCATCTACTCAGATTTTTCAAGAGCCTTCCTAGGAAGCTGTCCAGGCACCGGTGGTAACAGGGACCTAGATTTCCTTGCTGGCAAAAGAAAAAATGGCAAGGAAGTCACATCTAGCCATATTTAGACAAACCCTGGCGGCAAGGCACACAACTCAACACCCTAAGTGTCAGTGCAGGACTCCCCTTCCCTGACCCGCCCTCCCCCGGGAGCGAGTCGGCGGTGTCCACATTCATCTCGCCGGCCCCGCATGCTTCCGAGGGCACGGCCCCTCCGGGTCAGCCGGGCTGCGTTCCATACGGAAGGAGCCGTAAGACACCGTTTAGCCTTCCACTCTGGTCACCGTCCTGTCCCTCACGGAGCCTTGCTCCCCCTTACCTCTTCTCCTTTGGCTCACCCGGCCCAAGGACAAGAGTTCCCGCCGTCCTCGCTTTCAAAACCAAGCCAGTCGGATCCAGCATGCTTTGCGTACCCACCGTACAAAAACATGGCCGCGCTCCGGGCCCCTCCCCAGTCCCGGCATGCACCGGGAAATAGGCCCGCCCTTAATGCTGGGCAGGAAAATGGCGGCACCAGGCGCAGAGCCGCAGATCTTGGTACAATACTTGGTTTTACGAAAGGATCTATCGCAGGCTCCGTTTTCCTGGCCAGCGGGCGCATTGGTAGCGCAGGCTTGTCACGCAGCCACTGCGGCCTTGCACATTCACCGCGACCACCCGCACACTGTTGCTTACCTCCAGGAACTGGGACGCATGCGCAAAGTGGTTCTTGAGGTGAGAAACTGGACTGAGGGGTGGGGCGCCGAGAGCGTCGAGACCGGAAGTGGGTGTGGCCTTGAGTCCAAGGGCCTAACTTCGTGGCGTGATGGGCGTTAGTGGGAGCAGTCTTTAGCTTCTAAATTTTGGAAATGGTACTGGAGTGACACGAGCTGCTACCCAGAGGGCCTTTCTTTGGGGAGGGCCGGACTGTGAAGAGTGGACATCGGGCCTGTAATTAATGCTTCTCGCACCCCTTTTGTCTTGCCTGCGGCCCTCTGTTAGATACCTGTGCGGGAGGAGACCCGCCTTTCCCACCTGTGCACTGTACCGGCCTCCTGAAGCCGTCGCACGGAAAAGTACTGTTCCCTGCCCTACCATCAAAACTGATCCAGAATAAGGACACGGGATTCCTTATTGCTAGTGAAATCAAACTGAAGCGTTTACCTGGGCATGACGCCAAATTATTTGAAAATAAATGGGAACCCTAGTGTAAGTTGAACCTAGGATTACAAATACCAGGGGTGTAATATAGCTGTAAGGTTTTTTGTTTTTTTTTTGCAGATGGCCAAACAGAACTAACCCTTACCCTTTATAATTTCTGCTCTAGAAATGTATCCCAAGAATATAATCAGCCCTGTCCGGTTTGGCTCAGCGGTTAGAGCGACGGCCTGCGGTCCAGAGAGATCCGGGTTCCGTTCCCGCTAGGGGTGCATAGGTTGCATTTTGCCCCGCCAGGGCCGTGTGGGTGGCAACCACTGGATGTGTCCCTTTCACGTCCATGTTTCTCTCTCTCCCTCCCACTCTTTCTGAACAAAATATCAAAAAAATGTCCCCAGGTGAGGATAAAAAAAAAAAGAATATAATCACATGTACCCAAAGAGCGAAGATATTCATAGGAACACTTTACAATAGTAAAAAATGTGGAAATTACTAAATTTCCAATACTAGGGATTGGTTTCTTTATGCCCTTATAATGGATTATGAAATTAGCATAAATCATGTTTTTGGAGCATATTTATTTGGATGGAAGAGTGCTTGTGATGTGATGTTAATTAACTATATTCTGCATACAAGATGATCCAGATTTTGAAAGGAAAAACTAAGGAAATGCATCTGAATATTTAGTAGTGAGTGGTGGGATTTTAGTTATTTCCCAGTGCTTCTATTTTCTTTTTTGTTTTCTACATTAAGGACATATTTTATAATGAGAAAAAAATTGCTTTTATTTTAAAGCATTTTTCTCTCATAAAATATATTTATTTTAATAAATAAGCAAACCAGAACCCTGGGGTGGAGGGGTAGGGTAATCCCTTCATGGCTAGGTAGAAAAAAACAGATTATTTTGTGGGAGAAAAATTGCTGTTGGGTAGTGAAACATCAAACAGTAACCTGAGAACCTATAAGTAGGCAGAAAAGAAGCAGATAGCTTTTCATTGAGATTCTTTTTATATGAAGAGGGCCTCAAGAAATCATCTGGTTCAGACATGCCCTTCTCCCTCCCTTTCAGGCAGACAATATATTTACTTTTTCTCAGATGAGACATATGAAACCTATAGATTATCCCAAGTTTAAAAGACATCTGATGATTCCTAGTTGTTAGCCATGACTTAAGAAAGGGACTCAGCAATTACCATTGATTAAATTAAGATGCTGCTATAGCTATAAAGACCAATAAAAATATAATTGCAAGATTACTGTATGCCAGGCACAGGTCTAAGCCTAATTTCATTGAATCCTCACTTACTAGGAAGCATTATCATCCCTGTTTCATAAAGGGGAAATAAAGGCCCAACTAAGTCAATAACTTCTGAAGATCACACAATCAGTAAGTAGTAGGCAAGGGTTTGAACTCACTACTCGTTGTACTGTTGCTGAAGAAGGAGGGCGGGGGGGGGGGGGGTGCAAATGAGCTCTCCTGGAGTTCTGCTCTCCCTGAAGGACTCAATAGATTTATTGCTCAATCCCTGCATCTTCTAATTTGACAAAACAAACCTGGAATCGTCATTGCGGCTTCTAAATTCATAGGGAAAAATATATACCTTATGTAACATAACACCAATTTATTTTCTGATTGATAGTTTTAATACCTACTGTGAAGGGATTCAGCACTGGTGATAAGGTGAGAAAAAATTTCCAAATGATGTTAGGAAATAGTTTACCCTCCCTTGAGTTAACTAGTGGGAACTATCCCAGAAGGAAAATCCTAGGTTTGGGTGGGTTAGGGCGGGAGGGGAGGAGGGAGGTGGTCACAGTATGATTTCAGAAATCTTTCCAGTAGTAGTCAACTCTTAAAGTCAGAGCTGGCTGAAGGAATAGAAATAGCTATTTGGGCACCATCCGTAAGAGAACTAGAAAATATAGAGCATAATTACTGACAATGCATACAGCATCTCAAGAAGAGAAAAATCTCCATTTTATAAACAGAAATATTAAGCTTCTCCCCTTCTGGCCCTGCTCCCCCACCTCCCAGCCCCCAGGCAGCTTATCTGAGGTCCTACAGAGAATGAATGGAAAATGGAGCACTGAAGCTGTTACTTCTGGAGGCATGCGCTACAGCTCCTTTGGGAGAACTGTTCCTCCACTTTCAGTTAAGAGGAAACCCCTTCCCTCCCATGTTTTTTTTCCACTGACTTGACACTTCCTAAATAGGCTATTCAGTCTGTGTTCTGTGTTCTGCTTCTTGGAGGCCCCAGACGAGACCACCCTAAAGGAGCTGGCTGAGACGCTACGACAGAAGAACATTGACCACATGCTATGGCTGGAGCAGCCAGAGAATGTCGCCACTTGCCTTGCACTCCGTCCCTACCTCAAGGAAGAAGTGAATCAATATTTGAAGAAGTTCAGACTTTTCAAATGATTGATGTCATGAATTGCTTTGCTCTATTTGCATATCAGCTGGATCCAGAACCTGCATGCCATCATCTCTAAGCATCATATCCTTCTTTCAATGGCAACTTGCTCTTCCCTTTATGAGTTTCTTGAGGCCCAAACACATGTTCACATTAAAGTTGTCATTAGTAAGTACTTCCTCTTATTTTTGATTATTAATAAGTTCAGATGGGGAAAGTAGATGGACAGCAATATTGTTGATGGATGATTGCTCAAATGGAAGATTTGGTTAGAGTTCTATACAAGGGTCAAGGAAATGCCTTGCCATTTTTGTTCGAAATAACAGAGTTCTTCCAGTAACCCAGGTTTAAAACTTGGCCTTTGAATTCTTCATTTCTTATTCATATCCAGTTATTGTTGAATCTAAGACATCAACTTGAAGATATACCATTTATGTGTTACGAAAGAAATACTGCCAATTAAAGACATGCAATTAATTATAAGATATATTTTAATTTAAAATATGTTAAAATATACATATTTCTGCCTGGCTGGTGTGGCTCACAGGTTGAGCATTGACCCATGCACCAAGAGGTTGCCGGTCCGATTCCCAGTCAGGGCACATGCTCAGGTTGAGGGCTAAATCCCCTCAAGTTGAGGGGGACATGCTGGAGGTGGCCAATCGATGGTCTCATCAACATTTCCATCTCTCTCTCTCTAAAATCAATAAAGAAAATTTTTTTAAAAAAAATCTATATACATATTTCTTAGATTTGATGAAATGTGTGAAGTGCTACATCTATTTCCTTGTAGTTGCTGGTGCTACCACCCTGTATTATGCTCTCACTTTGCTCATCAGAGTGTCCCACTGGTCTGCTCACCTCTAATGTATCCAGGTTACAATCCAGCATGTGTTCTGCCACCAGGATTGTATAGGGGCACTGAACACCCTGCTCAGTATAGGCTCCAACTTGCCCATGAAATAAAATCAGAACTCCTTAGCTTAGCCTTCAGGTCCTCCACAATTATATTCCTGTCTTTTCAGGTGAATCTTCTATTCCCTTATCCAAATTTGATGTTTCAACAAAGATATTCCAGTTGCTGCCCTCTAGTCTCTGGCCCTGGGAGTTCAGTGTTTGTACTTTTCCCCTCCCTTTCCTGCCTCTGGATTTTACTTAAACTATTTCTGGCTCAAATGCTATACCTTCACAAGTCTACTCAGCCAAAAATGATAGTTACCTTTTCTGAACATCTGTTAACACTGTACAACATTTAAAATATTTCTGTAAACATTTGGAGACATCTACTGAAATTGCTTGGATATCCGTGAAGCAGTTTATAAAGGGTAATTTGTTCAATTGATATCTGTTGCATGTCTACTGTGGTAGGCTATACTAAGAGCTGAGAATATAAAGATACAAGTTTCTGCTCTCAGGTAGCTAAGAATCTAGTGAGAAGATACAAAAATAACAGCAAAATGTACAAGGTAATAATGGGTATACTTTCCTTCCTACCTCCCCTAGATACCAAGACTTTTCAGATACTAGATATAAGAGATGGTCGCTTGAAACTAGGAGAATGAATAGGGAGAATTTCCCGGCTGGTGTGGCTCAGTGGTTGAGCGTCGACCCATGCACCAAGAGGTCTCCGGTTTGATTCCCGGTCAGGGCACATGCCCAGGTTGTGGGCCCGATCCCCAGTGGGGGCGTGCAGGAGGTGGCCAGTCAATGTTCTCTCTCGTTGATGTTTCTATCTCTCTCCCTCTCCCTTCCTTTCTCTCTAAAAATCAATAAAGAAAAAAAAAAAAAAAAAGAATAGGGAGAATTAATATAGTGCTGAGGGCAGAACCAACCCCGGGGAAACCAAGTGGACAGTTTCACGAGGGAGAGCAATCAAACGTGGCACAGAATTTTGGTAAATAAGAACTGGAAACATTTAGCAATTGGGAACACGCTGGTTAACTTGGTGAAAGCAGTTTAAATAGCACATGAGGGTGGGAATCAGACTGCAGTCTACTGAGACAATAATGGGAAGAGAGGTAAGAGGTGGGGACTATTCTTTCAGGAAGCTTGAATGGGAAGAGAGGATAATGACAATAGGAACTGGAAAGATGAACGCTGGGTCCCATAGAGCGAATTTTTGTAGATACTTGAGCAAGTTGGTGAGGACAAGGGTAAGAAGAGAGACTAAAGTTAGTAAATAGAATAACTGATAGGTCCAGGAAAAAATGGAAAGAGGTGGGATTAAGGACATAGGGAAGGACTGGCCTTGAATAGAGAGAAATCCTCACTCAGTATTTTGCCATTTATCTTCAGATAGATTGGGAGGGAGGGAGACACACATCGATTGGTTGCCTCCTACACGACTCCGATCAGGGCCAGGGACCAAACTGCAACCAAGGCACGTGCCCTTGACCAGAATCGAACTAGAGACTCTTTGGTCCTCAGGCCGATGCTCTAACCACTTAGCCAACCCGGCCAGGGCAAGAGAAACCTCCGTTTTTGAGACTAGAGGAAAGGAAGTGGGGAAAGGTATGGGTATACATAAGTTTATAAATCAGAGGAGGAACAAAGTTGAAGTTGACAACCTGCTGAGTTAACTTTATTCTGTGAAGTAGGAGGCATACAACCTTTCATAACACTGAACAGACTTATTGAGCACTGTGTTACATGGCATAGCATAGTGGTTAAGAGTTCAGACTCTGGTTGATGTCAAATAGCCCGAATCCAAATACTGGTTCTCATCCATTCAAGCTGTGTGAACTTGGCCAAGGCACTTAACTTCCCTGAGCTCCAGTACCTTCATCTGTAAAACAGGGATTTACAAGGGTGAGATGTGGACTAAATGTGTTAGTTGGTAGAGATTCCTTAGGAGAGTGCCTGGGCACTTGGTACTAAAACCTAAGCATACAAATGTATTTTAAAACACAGCCCTCAAAGAGCTGCCTTCAAAAAACTTTCAGTCAAGTCACCAGTTGTCTGATTCCTTTTCTGCTAAGGAGTGATGCCAGCCAAAAATCCTCAAGTGCTCCCTGCTATTCATTCAAGACAATTAGCAAAATGTTTCTAAATTACACTGCATCTTAATTTTTTTTTTAATTCTGAATTCTGCAGAAAGACATGATGATAAAGTGAGAGAGCGAGAGAGAGAGATGTAAGTCTACACAACTGGAAATTAACAGCTCAGGTAAATCCCTAGAGCAGAGATCTGAGCACAGAAGCATAAGATGGGGAAAGGACACGGTGACCCAGAGGGAGAGCAAGACAGTAGCAGGGAAGTACCAGCTTTTCTTATTAATATCAGCAAAGATTGTCACTGTTTGAATGAGATCAGTGTTTCTCAAAGTGTGGTCCCTAGATTGGCATCACTTGGGTGCTTGTTAGAAATACAGTACAAATTCTCAGACCCATACCTACTGAGTCGATAACTCTGGGGTTATCTAGAAGCAGTCTGGTCTCAGGAGGCAGCCAGCCTAAAAGGTGAACAATAAATGTGTGTGATTTAGAAGCAACACACTATGGTAGTGTATAATGTGTCTACAGGAGTCAAGATGGAGAGCAAGAATCTGGCACTAACTACACTGTATCTGGCCTTGCATACCAAGTTAATAAAAATGTATTCTTCAATAGAACAAAAATTGTGCTGCAAGCCCTAGAATAGGTGATAAATCCTTGACAAGAATTTTCTATGCTTTATACATTTCTTATATGTGAAAAATTAACCAGATATGTCCATGTGTGCTAGTCAAGCCTGATAATTTTATGATGCAGGCAGTGTTGTCTCAAGTTTACAGATTCAGAAAGGCTTTGAATTGCCCAAGGTCAAAGTCAGTGTCAGGACCAGTATTGAAAACTAGGTTTTTCGTCAGTCCATTCTTCTCATAGTGGGTTACCTATCTGGTTTTCAGCCATCTAGATACTAGAGGGTGGTCATGAGTAGTTCAAGCACTGGGAAGCTGTGTCTTCTACTTTGTTGGTTAATTGACATTCTGGATTATAAATCCTCCTCTTGTGACTGTGAGATATATGACTCAATTCCCTAGGGCCCAATTATCACTGGATGAACTGACAAAATTGAGTTTCTGAACTTGTAAAGCTGAGGATCAGTGTCTAGGTCATTGCTTCTCATGCGGCTGACAGAGTGCAGAGGGCTTCTCTAGAGGTGGTTATTAAAAGCACCTGTTAGTGTTGTTTAATCAACATACATCTTCCCTACAGATTCTGAGATGCCACCCTTGGGGTGTGTACTATGCTTACTAGTTGAGAACCTTGGCAACAGTGAACCACTGTTATTGATGGAAAGGTGTTAGTGTGGAAAAATAGCTGAGAACCACTGCCCTTGGTTACCGTTACCTCACAAGTTTTAGCTGTTCTCCGAGGTAAGGTTTAGCACAGAATGGGACTAATCAAAGTGTGGGGACCAGTTAAGACTTCTTGGAAAGGGCATCTAAATTGAAGCCTTGAAGGATGAGCAGGAAGGGGGAGCATTACAGGCTAAGGAATGAAAATGGACATGCAAATGAGACCACAGGTGGTAAATTCAAGAATAAGGACCATTTGTTTAGAAAGTATAGAAGGTTATGATGTTTAAAAGGTAGAGTGATTTCAGATCAACTATAGGCAAGAAGTAGCCACTAACAGATTCTGAAGGTTGTGTTTATAAAGATTTCTGATGACTGTGTGAAAAATGAATGTAAACAGCATGAAGGTGGTCACTGTAATCATCCAAAGAAAGAGAATCAAGTCCTGAATTTGGTCTGCAATTAGTGGGGTTAGAAAGGAGATCACTATGAGGCACTACAAAGGATAACTGTTTGCAATTTGGTGAGATGAGTGTGAGGAGGTTGCTGAAAATGACCATCAACAGAATAATAATGCAATTAATTCAAATAAGAGACACAAGAGCTTATTTGTGGGGAAGCAAGTTATCTGGTTTGGGACTTAAGTTTGAGGTGGTGGGGAGCGGGGATCCATCCATGTGGTAATGTTCACCAGTTGGAAATTCAAGCCCAGATTTTGAGAGACATCTTGGCTAGAACAGTAGACTTAAGATGCATATAAATGGCCCTGGCCAGTTTGGCTCAGCAGTTGGAGTGTCGGCCTGCGGACCAGAGAGTCCCGGGTTCGGTTCCCGCTAGGGGCACATACCCCCCCCCCCAAAAAAAGTAAAACAATCAAACAAAAAAGATGCATATAAATGTAAGTGGTACTGAGTTCAAAGAAAAAGAAGAAAGCGAGAACACAGGGACTCACTTCAGAACTATTACCCTCATGCAAATTTAAAACATGAAAAAAAAGAAAATCAGTACTTTAACAAACCCAAAGTTACTATCCAGTTTACTTTCAAAATGGAAACCTTGCCAAACTTCTAAGGAAATTGAGCCCCAGAGAACAATTTTTAACTCATCAGTCTTTGTGTCATTGTCTCATGGTGCTTTTCTCTCTAATAGTTGTATTGTGCAGTGGAAACAATGGCAGGCTTTATCCCAAAGCCCAGAGACTGACTCTGGGGTCCAGCACCTCCTAGCCACCTGGCCAAAAATCTGAGCTTGTTTCCCCATCTGTAAAAGAAGGCTATGACTCATTCTAATTGCTTCATAGGACTTCAACAATCAAATGACATATTGTATGTGAAAGTGCTGTATAACTAAGAAATTATTAACACAAGAGTATTAGCCTAGCACATTGCCTGGCAGAGCAGAAAGAAAAGTTTTCCTTAACTGATGTAGAAACTCCACTATTGTAAAGGAGGCAGCTTCAGGCAGCATCTGTACGTCCCACACTGCCTATCAGTGTCTGTACTGCAACAGCGCACCAGAAAATGGAATACACACCAAAACCTGGGTCTCACGTTTTGTGTCTTATTCTGTACCTTAGGACCTCTGGGCATCAGAGTGGGAGGAAAGCCTGATGGAATAGATATTCCTTTTTAACATTTTTAATTATTTTTTTTCTCCTTAAGCCAATGTCTCAGGTTTGCTACACATACCTGTGGGCATTGCTTGGTTCTATTGGTTGTACAAACAACCGAAGTTCTAAGACAAGCACAACTGATTACACCAGAGCCCAAATCCAGTATAGGAGAAAAATTCTTTGTAGGACCAAGAGCCAGAGAAAAGTATATGCATCTATGATATGATCCAAGAAACCAAATTTCCTGGTTCACAAAAAGGATCCTGTTGGTCATTTTATATTTGCCCAAGGAACCCGTTTTTCAAAATTCTTTAAGCTAAGGGAGAACACTGCAGCTTCATGGAGACTTTTCATTTCCTGTTTAGATATGAAGGGACAGAATGCCTCTCCCAAAGCTATAGTGGGACACCTTGCTGACCTTATGCCAAAGCTCACCCCTGTTTAAGCCTCCAAGGAGCAGGCTCTGCCTGCCTCCAGAGAAGGGGCCAGGGCCTCTCCCCTCAGCCCTTGAGTTTTCATTCCTCTTTTCAAAGTTATTTCATGTCAGAAAATTGCCTAAGGTCACATAACGAGATTCCAAATTAGTCCTACATCATAAAAGTGCAGGATAATGAATCCAGAATTTGGAATTAAAAGACTTGGTTTCAAGTCCCAATCCACTGATAAAAAGTGTTTGTATCATATTTTAGAGTTTTTCTTTTTACAAGAACTTTCTCAAAGGACTGCAGAGAATTACATGAGATAATGTGCCCCAAAGCACTGTACAAATTGTTACAATACAAATTTATTTTTCCTGAACATTTTTAATATTGTCAACTACAGCAGATTATTGTGTAAAATACATAAAAGCCTGTACTTCTGGCTGGATAGAACTAGTAATGGGTGAGATCCCAGCTAATGGCTGGTACAATTTCCAAGTGAGAATCCCAAAGCCTAGTTCACGTTCCTCTTGGAGCCCAAGGCTGATTTAAATTACTACCTGCTAACAAAATTCTAATAAAATATTTATGTGGGCCTTTGCATGCGCTGTTTCTCAGACTTTTCACTTGCTGCGTCCTACTCATCCTGCACACCTCCCTTCAAATGCCATTTCTTCCTCAAGGAAACCTTCCTTGAGTCTCCAGACAAGGTTTCACTCACAGAGCAACTTCTGACTCTCCTTTATACCACTTAATCCAATTCTGATTATAACTATGTAAGTCCCCTCCATGTGAATATAAGCTCTGGGAGGAAAGGGTCCATGTCTGTCTGGATCCTCCCATATCCCTACTACCATGGATCAAGACAGTAAAATGTATTAAATGAGTGAACGAGGCCGGAGCTTTCTGTTTCTTTAATTTAGTTAAGAGCTCTTGTGGAAATAAAAATAAAAAATATATAAAGAAAACTAATTTAGCACTGGCAGAAAAGGTTCTGGATGGAGAAATGCTTTCTTTGGCAGTTTTCCCCAATCAAAAGAATTTATGGACTTAATTAACTCATCGAGATCTTTTTTCAGAGACACAGGATGGTCAAGGATCAGCTTGCTCTGAATTATTCACTTTATTCTAGTGGAGCTACTCTTCTGGGAAGATCAGCCCATCAGCGAGGAAATCAGCACAACTTCCTGTGTAAGCAGCTGGTTGTTCTTCCTTTTTCTTTGATTGCCCGGACCCAGAAGACAGTTTCTAGGTACGGAACCTATTTAGGTAAAACCACAAAGAAGATGAAGTTTCTCTATATCAACCTCACTCAATCTATTTGTTTTTCTAATGACTTTCCCCCAAATACTTTAGGATACATTTAAATCAATGTTTAACCTCATCTAAGAGAAGTATCATGTTTACCTTATCCAAACTTTGGGAGAAAAAGGTTTTGTTCCCCATAAATATGACTTCAGACAATAGCTACCACATCTGTGTTCATGTGTAAGAACATGTGCAGGATATAAACCCTCCCCTGCCCTCTACTAAGTATCACACTTGCTTCCCCTCCTCACATAGGCCCTACTTGCCAGATATTAGTGGATTTAAGTGGCCTTAAAAAGACACAAATAAGAAACAGGGTCTAATAGAAAATGTATTATCAGAATGAAGGAGGCTCCTCAAGATTTGACATCTGCATAATAAATGTTAGTATATGAAAACCAATAATTGCAAGAGATATGGTATCCTGTGACTCTGAAATGCTGCCTGGACCTGATCTCCTGGGTAACAAACTGCCAGACCAGAGTGTTTAATCATCAGATAAATGGTCAAAGTCAGAATTTCCTCAAGGCCCACTATCATGACTTCATTTTGACCTTCTCAAATTTCACTGAGCTGGTTCATATTTGGGTGACTTCGAGGATGTTTGGCTTCAGGGATCCTTTCTTTTGTTATCCTTTAATTACCCATTAGTCATTTTGGGCTTAGGCCTGCAAGATGTAGGTTTCATTTCTTCCCTGTAAATGAAGAGGCAACCCATGATGTTGTTAAACAAATTCTATTCAGTAGCTGGAAAAGTGCATTTCCTGTGGAATGACAGGAATTACATAGAAGCAAGCAATTTTATTTTCCTCAAATGTAGCAATAATTTCAATCTGTACATACATAAAACAAACAGTGCAATTATAAAACCTTGAAGGTGACATGCATACTTTAAGGTGCAGTTGGGATGGGAGAGGATGTTAGCATCTCCAATTTTCCTTACCACTTTTTTTTCTAGTTCCTTATGCAAAAGCACTGAGTCAGGAAACTTCATCTGGAATGCTGAAGTTAAAAGTGAACTTCCTGAAGTCTGTAAGTCTAAATATCACAAACAGAACAGAAATGACATCCTAGAGCAGTTTGGTAGGGACTAGAGTAATATGGCTGGGCTTTCAAGCTGGAAATGACATCGGGGATGCATTTTTCTGAAAAAACTAAGAGATAATGTTTGTAAGTGAGTGTCCTATTTCTCTTTCATAGTTGCTACCCATGTGAGCCCTTCCACCAATCTTTCAATTCGGTATTATGCTTTCTGAATAGATGCTGTTCAGTGGCGTTATTTGTAACTAGGGGTGGTAAGATGCAGAAAGGAGGACCTGGGAAAATGGCTTCTTCCTTGATGTCCGAGTCCATGCTCCTCTTCCATTGTTAGTTCTTATGGCCTGTTCTCTGCTGTGGAAGCAGAGGTAGCTGGTGCGCAATGTCAGGTGTCGTCATCATTCACAGGCCCAGGAATGCAGGTGAAGGCGAGTGATGGGGGTCTACCTTTGCTTCTTCCACAATACCTTTCTCAAGCTTCCCTGGCCTTGCAGTAGAACTTCTAGAACTAGAGAGTCAGTTCACTGGTCCTTGATTCAGAGGCCAGGATGAGACAAGATGTGGCAGAGTGACAAGACACAAAGGGAACATATGGTACCAATTAGCCTCAGAGCAGAATAAATTTATATTTGCACTGACGAAAATTCAAATTCCCAAAGTCAATCTAAAACAAAGTAAGAAGATTTTCTTTGAGTACTAATTTTTCTCCGTACAAGTAGCCTGTGCACTTCTGGTGACAATTCCTTACACTGCTCTCAAGGTGGATGATCCCAGGGATACTCTAGGGTAGTGAGCTTTAGCTCGTCTGGAACAGCTCTTTCTGGCAGTTGGCATTTTGACTTGAACCCCAAAGTAAATCCATACATGGCGTCACAGTTATTAAAATAATGAAATATTACTAGCCAAATGTAACTGCAATTCAATCAATGTTATATTTCACACACAAATATAGAAAAATCAAGAGTATGATAATAAAGCCATAAAATTAAACAGAAGGAAATAAATTTCTACAAGAAATCAAATATATTTACAATGAGATTTTAAGGGAAAAATAAGCTACTTAGATCATAAATTTAATTTTATTTTAAATAACTTTATCTACTTCAGCTGTTAATACAATAAAAGCAGAAAGAACAGGCTGCCTTTTCCCAGATTTAATCTGAAAATTGTATCTACAATAATTGACAGAACTCGCTTCTTGTCCTTCACCCATCTCATCAAAAAATTATTGCATTTTCCCCAAACTGTATTTTTGGATTCCTCTAAATATACTCATTTCATCCTCGTTCCTGGAGGCATCTTGGTTTAAATCCATCTTTTAAAAAAAGGAGAAAGGGTAAATATGTGGAGGCAAAATATTCTCTTGAAGCCAACAGATATAGAGTTGCTAGAAGAAGCTGATTGTACACACAAGCTGCTGGGGGTCAGGAAGGGCTGTTGATTAGAGACACGTGGCAGCCTCTGGTGGACAGGCACAGGCCCTTCTTCCTGGCAGAGTCCGAGCTGAGCCAGTGGAGGCGGAGCTCTGTCTTCCCCTCGGAACTTGTCGTTTTGGTTCTCCTCCAAAGGCCTTCATCCAGATAAGAAGCCAATGACTGATTATAAAAATAAGAATAATTAAATTTGGCTCAAGAAATAGATTGTCCAACTGTTCTGCCTTATTTTTTTAATATCCAAGGCCTTTACAAAGAAACAAAAACATCTCTCAATCTCCCAACAAAAGTGTACTCATTTATTTTTGCTCCAAATGCTACGACCTGAAGAATGGCTGCAGATTGAGATATCAAAAATCTCAGAAAAATATATAATATATTTGTATATCTCTGTATGTCTATTATTTAAATTTCACATTCCTTTAAAAGTGGTTATTCAGTCAGTAGCTGCTGAAGGAGGCTCTTCTGCTGGGCCTGGGGGGTCTGTGGTCCTGTTGTGGGTTTTTGAGTTCCCAGTGGACCAGGCTGGTTCAGGTAAGGGTCCCCGCCTACCAGATTCACTGTACATTGGACGTCAGCAAACACCTGAACCTGTTGCACCTGCTGGAACACAAATAAAAGATGTGTTTAGACAGAAGGGTCTGCCCCCCCGGCTTATGAGTGGGTACTACTTGAAGTGGAAACTCACTAGAGCATTCCTCTAGTCTGTAGTCACCACAGAGAAGAACTCTTCTGTCTTCTTGTCCTACAAAAAGAAAATCGCTGCACTCATTTTGCTCAGGGTTCTGGAAAGTTCACACTTTAAAAATAAAATAAAAATCGGAATGGTCAAGCCTCCTACAGGGTTGCCATCAATATTGAAAGTGAACATTGTTTCTAATACTGCCAAGATTGGGAAAAGCCCAGTTTTAGAGACTGGGTATCCAGTGGTGGGTTAAAAAAACACACATGTTATTTGGAAAACTGGTTTAAAAGCATTCTATGGATGATTTTAGTAGGATAAAAAATATCTTTATGATGTTAGAAGATTAAGGACTTTAACCCAGTATTAGCAAAATAAAACCACCACAATTCAGTAACAGGACATCAGCATTACTAAAGTTAATGTCCTGAAGGTTTATGTAGTATCTAAATATACTATTACATAGCTTCTTTATATATTGCCTTTAGAATTACAACAAAATATTAGCAGTACAATTTTATATGTAACTTCTTTTTCCTGATAGACAATTCATTTAAACACATGAGCTAATAAAAATAACAGTAAACTACTAGCTGAGAACAGTGTGAATTTTCCCTTTAACTACTTTCAGTAAAATACAGTATTTTTTTAAATGTCTACAGTTGCATAGTTTTAACATTTTCTATTGGGAAAACAAAACCAGAAGTTAGTCTTTACCAATCGGTCTTATTAAAAAGTCATTTGTAGAACTGATAAGGACCAATATCACACTGTGACTGTTCCAGACCAAGAATGGAGATGCCTTCTCAGTCATCAAAGTACATCTAACTAAGTGTCTCAAGCTTTTGGCAAATTTGTGTGTTGTGTTTAATAGGTTTCTGAAGTATTTTAGATTAGTGATACATTTTCTTGGCCATTTGTCACGAATTCATGCCAATTACACTCAGCTTTTCTGAAAAATATTTTATCCTAATTGAATAAAAGTTGTTTTCCATCAACCTTCACTGACCAAATGTCAAATGTCCTGATGATCTAATTGCTGTATCAGTCTAGCCCCTGGTCCTCTCAATCCAGCAACATCTCCAATCTACTCTCCCTCAGCTAAATCAGACATCTCTGAGCTTGCTTGCTTGCTTATTTATTTATTTATTTATTTATTTATTTATTTATTTAGTGGTACGCGCCCCTAGTGGAAACTGAACCCGGGACACTCTGGTTCGCAGGTCAACGCTCAGCCGCTGAGCCAAACTGGCCAGGGCCTCTGATCTTTTTAAATGCTTGATGAATTAACTCTCTACTTAGCTTAGCATCGTTTCTCTCCTTAGCCTCCCTCTCCTCATCCCCCCTTTCCCCAACTTCCCAAATTTTGCTTCTTGCCTCCACATGTTCCCATTTGTTGTTTTCTCTGGGGCTCTTTCTTGTGTATCTAAAACATACAAACTCTCTGAGTCTAGTCTGTAGCTGCCTCTGTGCCCTCCCCCACCTTAATTCTCTATAACTCCTCATTCCTACTTTTCCTTCTAGAGCTCGCCCTGGCCTTCTCTCTCCCCATGTCAACCATTTCCCTCCAGCCCTCTTCTTGCTTCTCTATTCCATGTTCTTCTCCTGTTCTCTCCTGCTTCACCTCCTCCTCATCCCAGTGCTCCAAACACAGCCAGCCCCCAATCTTACCCTTGTTCCTTTCCTTCTCCTCTTCTGTACATCTGTCTCTATATTTCTAACTCACTCCCAAACTTTTGTTTGGCAAAAACAAAAAGCATTGGAGCAAAAAGAGATTTCATGATGAGCTACAACAGAAACAAGATTCCGCCATTGAAACTTTCAATGAGCACAAACTATGTGGCTTGTAGGTACTGCTTTTTATAAATAATTAATGTAAACTTTCAGGTTTATATGTTTCAACTTAAGAAATACTACGGCAGAGCATAAGATGTTTTTGTCCTCAAACACTTAAAAACATTCGTGACAAAGGCATAAAAAAAAAAAAAAACTAGAAAGAAAATTCTGCTTCTTTAAAAAATAGTCTATACTGAAAATTTAAAAATATTAAAAAGATTAAACCAAACTAAAATGTATACATTTCAGCTATTTTGAACTTGAAAAATGAGGTCTCTTAGACTAAACCTCAAAGGACTTCTAGTAGTGCCACATCTTCACAGACAGGAGAAGCAAGACACAAATAAAACTTCAGATTTGCAAAGTGAGAAGGGTGGTGGGAGAGCCAAGTCCTAACCTCTTAAGATTTTCCAGAATAACCCCTCCCACCACCACCGCCCCCCAGAATAGTTTTTACTTCAAGTCAAATACTGTCCCAGGGCTCAGGAACTTTAGAACTTGATTGTTTTGTTTTAACTAATTGGCTGAGCTGCCCAGTATGTCTCTGTAGGTATGAGACTTTAAGAAACTTCTAGTGAAGCCCAGCTGGTATGATTCAGTGTATTCAGCATCGCCCCATGGACTGAGAGGTCCAGGATAGATTCCTGGTCAAGGCACATGCCAGGGTTGTGGGATCGATTGGGATAGGGGGCATGCAGGAGGCAGCTGATCAGTATTTCTCTCTCACATGGATGTTTTTCTCTCTCTCTAAAAAATAAATAAAAACATATTTAAAAAACTCACAGAGACTTCTGGTCAAGATGGCGGCGTAGGTAAACGTGGTATCACCTCTTCCTACAACCATATCAAAATTAAAACTAAACTATAGCAAAACCATCATTTGGAACCGCCTGAAATAGAGCTGAATGGAAGTCCTACAATTACAAAATGAAAGAAGAAACTACATCCAGACTGGTAAGAGGGGCGGAGGTGTGGATGGGCTGGTCCCACACCCACGTGTGGCAGATAAAAATCTGGAGGGTACCTGGCTGGGAAGGTCCTCCCTGAGGATTGAGGGGTCCCCATCACACACCAGGCGCCCAGCTCAGGGTTCCAGTGCCAGGAAGAGAATCCCCATCACTTTGGCTGTAAAAACCAGTGGGAACTGAGGCTGAGGGAGGCTAAGGCTGCTGGCACCCCAGGCAGCTCCTCTTAAAGGGCCCATGCACATTGCCCTGGCTATTTGGTTCAGCAGTTAGAGTGTCGGCCCACAGACCAGAGAGTCCCAGGTTCGGTTCCCACTAGGGCACGTACCTCAGTTGCAGTTATTTCCCAGCCCTGGTTGGGGTCATGCGGGTGGCGAACACTCCATGTGTCTCTCTCACATCGATGTTTCTCTCTCTCTCTCTCTTCCTCGCTCTCTCCCTCCCGCTCTATCTAAAGATGAATGCAAAAGTGTCCTCAGGTGAGGATTAAAAGAAAAGGGGCCCATGCACAGATTTACTTGGACTTGCTCCCTCTAAGCTCAGAGAGAAGGCAGCTTGAAAGGCACCAGAGACAAACGGGAAAGAACTGAGCTATTTGGCCTCGGAACGAGGGCTGGAGAGGCAACTTTCTCTCAGACAGACATGCTGTGGGAGGCCTTTGTTCCTTTGGTGAGCCCTTCCCCAGGGGGCAGGCAGATTGGGTGCCATATCTGGGACTCCAGCAACCTGGCTCACACTGTTTGCCCCATCTTGGTGATTCTCTGAGGCTCTGCCCCACCCAACTTTCAGGCCCACCCAAGCTGTTTCCAGTGGTTTTACCATAGGATTGGCCTGTCTTGGATCCTGCTTCAGTTTCCTAAAAGCTCTCAAACAAGCAGCATCTGGTCTCAGCGGGCCCCATACCTCTTGTTAAGTGGCCCCAGAGCTGGCACTAGAAGCAGCCAGCCTTGGTTCACAACTTGGCTTTTCCTGGGCACCTCTAAGCCCAGCACAAGAAGCAGCCATCTGCAGATCACTTTGTAGCTTATGCCGGGTGGCCCTGGATAGAACACAGGCAGTGGCTGACCTTGCCCCAGAGCCAGCACACTGTGGACAGCTTCAGACCACATTGAAACACCACCACCCAACCACCTCCACAAGTGACACACTCAATGAGTGGACTCAGTGGGTATCAGAGCCCTGCTGAAGTAAGTCTTGCTCTGTGTGGTGAACCCCTACAAAGCTGATCCTCCAAGGTAGTCAGAGGCCAGTGGTCAGTGGGCACAGTCAGTCCTTATAGCTGATCAGCCTGAATAAATCTCTCCCCCATTGATGTGCCAACAGCAAGCAAGACTCAATTACATCAGAAGGGTGTATAGTCCACACTAGGGGTGCACCTTGAAGGCCCAGCTGGGGTGATCAGGGAGGCTGTGCCACTGGATCCTACAGAACACCTACAATAATAGGCCACCCTACAAAGCCTAGGAGACATAGCATCTCTACCTAATACATAGAAACAATCACAGGGAAGCAGCCAAAATGAGGAGACAAAAAACATGTCCCAAATGAAAGAACAGAACAAAACTCTAGGAAAAGAACTAAACAAAATGGAGATAAGCAATCAATCAGATGCAGAGTTCAAAACACTGGTTATAAGGATGCTCAAGGAACTTAGTGAGACCTTCTAGAAACATAAGGAGACCTCCAAGGAACTTAGTGAAAACATCAACAACATAAAAAAGAACCAGTGAGAAATGATGGATGCACTAACTGAAATAAAAAGTAATCTACACAGATTCAATAGTAGAGTAGGTAAAGCCAAGAAGCAAACCATCAATTTGGAATATAAGGAAGCAAAAAACACCCTATCAGAACAGCAAAAAAAAAAAAAAAAAAAAAAAAAATCCAAAAAAAATGAGGATAGTATAAGGAGCCTCTGGGACAACTTTAAGCATGTCAACATTCACATCCTAGGGATGCCAGAAGGAGAAGAGAGAGAGCAAGAAATTGAAAACCTATTTGAAAAAATAATGACAGAAAAACTTCCCTAACTTGGTGAAGGAAACAGACATACAAGTCCAGGAAGCACAGAGAGTCCCAAACAAGATGAAGTGACAGAAGTCCACACCAAGACACATCATTATCAAAATGCCAAAGGTTAAAGAAAAAGAGAGAATCTTTTAAAAAATTTTTTATCCTCATCTGAGGACATTTTTGCATTTTTCTTCAGATACAGCGGAAGGGAGAGGGGGGAAAAAGAGAGAACCATGGATGTGAGAGAGACACATCGACTGGTTGCCACCCACACGTCCCCAACTGGGGCTGGGGACAAACTGCAACCGAGGTGCATGCCCTTGGTGGGAACCAAACCTGGGCCTCTCTGGTCCGCAGGCTGACGCTCTAACTGCTGAGCCAAACTGGCCAGGGCCAAAGAGAGAATCTTAAAAGCAGCAAGAGAAAAGCAGTTCGTTACCTACAAAGGAGCTCTCATAAGACTGTCAGCTGATTATTCCAAAGAAACTTTGCAGGCCAGAAAGAGTGGCAAGAGATATTCAAGGTGATGAAAAGCAATGACCTACAACCAAGATTACCCTATCCCACAAAGCTATCATTTAGAATTGTTGGACATATCAAGAGTTTTCTAGATAAGAAAAAGCTAAAGGAGTTCATCACCACCAAACCAGTATTATATAAAATGTTGAAGAGTCTTCTTGAAGGAGAAGAACAAAAATAGGAACAATAAAATGGCAATTAATACATATCTTTCAACAATTGAATCTACAAACCAAATGAGCAAGGGGAACAGAAACAGACTCCTAGATACAGAGAACTTTTTGTTGCTTGCCAGATGGGGCAGAGGGACTGGGTGAAAAAGATGAAGGAATTGAGAAGTACAAATTGGTTGTTAGACTGATGAACCTCAAAGGGTTAAAAAAAAACCCCACAAACTTTAGTGAAGCCCTGGGCAGTGTGGATCAGTGGTTAGAGTGTTGGCCTATGCACTGAAGGGTTTTGGGTTCAATTTCCAATCAAGAGCATGTACTTGGCCCTAGTCAGGGCATGTGTGGAAGGCAACCAATTGATATGTCTCTCTCACATCGAAGTTTCTCTCTCCCCTTTTTTCTCTACCTCCCTGGCTTCCACTTTCTCTAAAAAAAAAATCAATGGAAAAAATATTATTGGGTAAGGATTAACAACAACAACAAAAAACTTCTGGTGAGAGGGTGTCAATGGGGGAAAAAGGAGAAACATCTGTAACAAAAATAAAATTAAAAAACAAACAAACAAACAAACAAACAAACAAAAACTTCTGGTGAATGAAAACTTCCTCTTCACCATCACAAAATCCCCTCTCTTCAGCCCTACAGGACTCAGATCCTATTTCCTAATGCTCAACTATGGACATTGCCTCCTAACTGATCTTCTTCCTTCTGAGCTGCTGCCCAGGCTCCTCCTTTCCCTTTCACCTACCAGGTGAAGCCTAAGCGGGCACTTGGATCACTGCTCCCTTTCAGGGGTGATGCTTCTTCTGCAGGACTGAATCCAAATCCCTAGGTTTAGCGTTCAAGGCCCCTGGAAGTTTGCCCAATCTACTTTACCAATTTTAATTCCTATGAATTCTTATTACAAACCCTTTACCTTCCTTCGGTGATTATGGTTTCCCAAGACTATGGTAAGACATTACTGTTTCCCTGTCTCTGTGCCCTCCACTTCACTTCCAATCCCCTCCATTTACCAGAATACCTTTCTCCTTCACTTGGCCTTGCTAACTACTCTTGAAGGCCCATTTCAGTCCCACCTCCTATGGAAATGCTCTTCTAACCATCTCAACAATTTCTCCTTTATTATTATTATTTTTTAATGCTTATAGCTCTTGTTACTTGTAACAAAAATTTGAGTTTGTCTTGTTTGATTACGTGACAATTTATGTGCATATGTCTATGTTTTTTTCTTTTAACAGGCCCTAAGTGGTACAGCAGAAAGAGCATAGACTTTGGTGTTAGAAAGACCTGGGTTTGAAGCACAGTTCTGCCACTTTCTAGCTTTGTGAATTGTGCATAGAGTTAAATCCCATCAAGTTTCTTCATCTGTGAAAAAAAGAAATACTACCTCCTTCCTAAGGTTATAGTGAGGCTTACATGACATAAAGCACAGTGCCTGGCAAATCACCTAAAGGGCAAACATGTCTTATGTTTCTTTATATCGCCACCTCAAGCATAATGCTGGTATTAAAACTTTTTTAACTTAAGACACTAAAGGCTAAACCAAAGTTACTGTGAAATGAAAACTTCCAACATTTCTAAATTTAGGTTAATATAGTAAAGTGGCTACCCATGCTTTTTATATTATTTTAAAACAAACTACTAATAAGGAGGCAGGGTACACAGCATTTTGTTTTATTTGAATTTACTGAGATCTTTTGAGGTATTTTGATTACACATGAATTTGAGCACTGTGTTTATTTACAAAATAATAGTTAGTGGCTACATTAAATTAAACCCCTGAAAGCTTATCTCATTTAACCCTCTGAACAATCCTATAAACAGGTATCTTGTTAGTCCTATTGGTTATACAACAGCTCAGGAAAATTCCCTAACATGCCCAAGATGACACAGCTAAGAAGAGTAGGGCCAGGACTCACATCCAGGTCTGATTCCCAAGGTCGGGCTCTTAACCATATGCTGCACAGAGTTTCCTGTGTCTCTAGAGTGCATTTGACAGCTCTGGGCTTAGAAGTTTCTTACTGACCTGGGTTCCATCTGCTTCTGTTTTGAGAAGGTCGGTAGATGAAAGCTGGTTGCAGTAGAGGCCTGTGTGTCTCAGTGCTGAATCATTTATCTATTAAAGATAAGTACAAGACCAAATTATAAGATAGTTTTTTAAGCTGAAGTTCAAACCCTTCAATGAAAAACATTCTCACTGACAGAAATGTAATAGAAGGACAGCAGAAATAAAAAGCTTAGCAACCGCCCGGCTGGAGCGGCTCAGTGGCTGAGCATCGACCCATGCAACAAGAGGTCACCAGTTGATTCCCAGTCAGGGCACATGCCCAGGTTGTGGGCCCAATCCCCAGAGGGGGCATGCAGGAGGCAGCCAATCGACAATCTCTTTCATCGATGTTTCTATCTCTCCTTTCCCTTCCTCTCTCTCTCTAAACCCAACATAGAAAAAAATTTAAAAAGAAAAAAGTTAATTCACACACTTACAAAAGTTAAGTAGCAAAAGATTTTTTTTTTTTTATCCTCACCCGAGGACATTTTTTTTTTTTTTTCCATTTTTTGCAGATAGAGTGGGAGGGAGAGAGAGGAAGAGAGAGAGAGAGAGAAACATCGACGTGAAAGGGACACATCGAGTGGCTGCCACCCGCATGACCAACCAGGGCCGGGGACAAACTGCAACCGAGGTACATGCCCTTAGCGGGAACCGAACCCGGGTCTCTCCGGACCACAGGCCGATGAAGTAGCAAAAGATTTCTACTTCCAGTGAAGATTCAGTAACAGGGATCAGATTTATCCTCTGCCTAAATCAACTAAAAATTAGACAAAATACATAAAAATGAAGGCACTCAAGACACTGGACAAAGGCAATAAAAGAAAGTTACCCCTAAGAGTTGGAAAACAACTGAGGTGAGTCCTATGATTACCTCAACCCACTGCCTAGAGAGAATTTCCAGGCTGTAGCATGGGGACAGGGAACTCAGGAAGAGCCCGACAGGCTTCCTGAATTGAGAAGACGCAGATGGAAGTCTGAGATGGCCAAGGCAGCTGGAATTCACAGGGCAGAATATCTGACGAGAGAGAGCTATACATAGAGAAAGTTCTGAAGCTCTGCAGACCCCTTCAAGTCTACAGCTTAGTACTGATCAGCTAATGGATGTCAGGGAACTACCCAAAGCACAGAAAAGATTCACCTGAAAAGAATTACATAAAATAATCCCTAAAGATCACAAACAGCTGGGAATAGGTCTTGATCCCACCAGCCAGACTGGAAAAAATCGTAATTCATGTAGAATCAAGTAGTGCACTAGAAAGGTTTTGCCTCAGTAGTAAGTAGGGTACAGTTAGTCCTATACTACATATAGCTCTGGCCCCACTAAAGAAAAAAAAAAAAACCCAAACACTAGGCCCAAAAGGATCAAACTGTTTTCAAGTAACTTAACCACTTCCCAAAACAAAGCCCAAGAATATTTATAGGACTATCAACAAGGTAAAATTCATATGTCTAAAATCCAATAAAAAATGATCAAGCATGCTGCCCTGGTCGGTTTGGAGCGTCGGCCTGTGGACCAGAGAGTCCCAGGTTCGGTTCCCACTAGGGGCATGTACTTCCCACTCCCCCCCAAAAAAGATCAAGCATGCAAAGTAGCCGAAAAATACAAGCTGTAATTAAAAGAAGAGTCAATCAATTGAAACCAATTTCAAAATGATGCAGATGATAGAACTGATAGGTAAGAATATTAAGACAGTTATTATAATAACCATATTCTATATGTTCAAGAAGAGAGAGGAACATGTTACAGATATGGAAGATAAAAAACAAACAAACACCAAACTGAACTTCTAGAGATGAAAATAGCAATGTCTGAGATGAAAAATACATTGGATAAAATTAACAGGTCAGATACTGCCAAAGAAAAGATCAGAGAACCTGAAGCTACAGCAGTAGAAACTATCCAAAATGAAACACAGAGAAAAAATGGCTGACCTCACACCACTCCCCAAACCCCAAAACCCAGAGAATCCGTGAGCTATGGGGCAACTTCAAGGGCCTACTACAATGTGTAATTGGAGTCTCTGAAGGAGGATGGGGGCTGGTGACAAAAAGAATATTTGAAAAAATAATGGCCAATAATTTCCCAAAATTGATGGAAAATACACATCTATAAATCAAGAAGCTAACTGAAGCCTAATCTAGCATAAGAACCAGAAATAAAATAACATTAAAGCATATCAAAACTAAATTTCTTAAAACCAGGGATAAAGTGAATAATCCTAAAAGTAGCTAGAGGAGGAAAAATCAACATGTACAGAGAAACAAAGATTAAATAACAGCAGATATCTCATCAGAAATACTTCGATGGAGCAACATCTTTAAAGTATTAAAAGCTAAAACTGCCAACCCAGAATTCAGTGAAAAGAATTTTCAAAGATGAAGAAGAAACAAAAACTTTCACACATACAGAAGCTGGAAGAATCATCACCTGCAGACCAACACTATAAAAACAGTTTAATAAAGACCTTCAGGCAGAAGGAAAATGATAGAAGGTGGAAATTTGGATCTACACAAAAAAATGAAGAATGCTGAAAATAACTACATTGGTAAATACAAAAGACTTATTTACATTTTTAGAAAATATAATTGACAATTTAAAGTAAAAGTACTAACAATATTTTGTGGGATACGTAGACATAATATGTGAGACAATACCACAAGAAGGGAGAAAGGAAATAAACTATCGTGAAGTTCTTATATACGAGGCGATGCAATATTACTTGAAGGCAGATGATAAGGTAAAGATGAATACTATAAAGTCTAAAGCAACCAATAAAATTATAAAACACACACACACACACACACACACACAGAGCCAACAAAGGAAATAAATAAATTTAAATAGTCAATTACATTTTTTAAAAGGCAAGCCATGGAACAAAAAAACAAAAATGAGATTTGAATCCAACCACAACTGGCCCTCGTTTATCGCGGTTAATCAGTTCCAGACTCTACCAAGATAAATGAATTTCCGCAAAGTAGGATTCTTTACTTATACAAGTCGTCCCTCACCACTCTGCACTTCCACTTAAGAGGCTTCACTCTATCGCAGTTTTTTCAAATACTATACTATACTTAAAAAAACCGCGATAGAGTGAAGCTGCAAAAGTTGAGGCTGAAGTGGCGAGGGACAACTACATATCAATAATCACATTAAATGTAAATAGGCTATGGCTAACCACTCCAATGAAAAGGCAGAGAGCCCTGGCCAGTTTGGCTCAGTGGTTAGAGCGATGGTCCAAGTCACCTGTTCAGTTCTGGTCAAGGGCATGTACCCTGGTTGCGGTTCGTCCGTGGCCCTGGTCAGGTCATTCAGAAGGCAACCAGTCAATGTGGCTCTATCACACTGATGTTTCTCTCTGTCTCTCTCTACCTCCCTCCCACTCCATCTAATCATAAACAGAAAAGTATCCTCGGGTGAGGAATTTAAAAAAAAAAAGAAAGAAAAGGCAGAGAATGTCAAATTGAATAAAAAGAAGCAAGACTCATTATATAAAAAATATACTTTAAATGTATATTCTTTAACCTAATTCATTATATCTATTATTTTGTTGTAATCTACTGTAGATAGTGAATAACTCAAATAACTGAATAAAAAAAAGATAACAAGAAATCTTATTTAGTTCTTTTGTTTGTTTTTTTTAAAAAAATATTTTATTGATTTTTTTTTTTTTTTAATAGAGAGGAAGAAAGAGAAACATCGATGTGAGAGAGAACCATCGATTGGCTGCCTCCTGCACGCCCCCTACAGGGGATCGAGTCCACAACCCCAGTATGTGCCCTGACGGTAATCGAACCAGGACCTCTCAGTCCATGAGATGACACTCAATCCACTGAGCTGCACCAATGAGGCTAGTTCCCTGCTAGCCTCCTTAGGCTTATTATATAATACCTGGGGAATAGGAATTTAAAGAAAATTAATATCAGAAAAGAATTCTATAGAAAAGGTAATCAGTGTTTACATGTTTTTAAGATTTGTTGTAAATTATGGCTACATAGTCATAGACTAATCACCAGTCTACTTTGTTATTGTTAATAATGAGAATAATAACTAGAAGTTTACCCAATGATCTTCTTAAGTATCACTTTGAATTTAGTCATACTCATTTTGAAAATTTTCAGGAGGCTCCAGGATGAACTCTGAACATTTAGATGGCCTATAACACCCCTACAAAGCTTATCACATTATTTCTGCTCTAAATATAATACAAACATCCCTTTAACATTCATTAGGCTTTTCAACTTCTATTCCTGTCTAGATCATGCTGTGATAATCAGGAACTTTTTCCTTTACACCTTCAGTAGTTAATTGTATATACCCCTCATCTGACAGAATATGTATGGTCCTGTGGGGGTCCACAAACACAGCTGTTTTGTCCTACTATTCAACTGATCCTTTGTTCATGCTGTATCTTCCTAGCTTGTTAATATTATCTTCTATAGAGCTATCTTTGCACATAGCAAGTACTAAATAAATATTAAACTGAAAGGGAGAAATGAAGAAAATGTGTTCAGAATATAAAGGGCTAAGTTCCAAGCCAATGTATTCTATGTATAATTTTATAATAAATCTAAAACACTAAAATCTCCTAAGACTAAAATCTTATGACTGACAAAATTTCCATCGTATATTTTAAGGGACAGTTATTATCAAAAGATAGTGGGAAAGAATAAAGAAGTGTCTTATTTTTGATGAGTAACTGTAAACACGCCTGACTTTTCTTAGAATAATAACTTGTGGTATGGTAAGGTGTGGTGTGTGTGTGTAGCAAGTGTGCCAATTGTGCCACTTACCTGCTCAGGGCACACAGTGTTCATTCCTGGCATCTGCAAAGAGCTCATCTGCATCTGACCCATCATTGGGTTCATGTTCTGAACATTTGTGTTTCCACCTGCCATGGACACGGTGATGCTCATGTTGTTGTACACTCCAGGCTGTGCAGGCGTGGGCTGGTTCTGGACAGCTTGACTGAATACACTGTTAACTCAAAAACAATCCCGATTACACCCACTGGTCATGAACATGGGAATAATGTGACTGGACTCTATTTCTTAATTACTAGATAGAATTCCAAAGAACACATTTACATTCTTAAGTTATACATATGCTTTATCTTATTACAATATTTAAGGATTGAGTAGAATTCAAAAGCATTTTGAACTCCGCCCAAGGGGTTTAATAACTAAAAATAACTCATTTTAAGTTACAATCATCTGGCCTAGTATCAGAGTTGATAGGCCCAATTATCTGAATTAAGAAAGGTTTCCCACATAAGTAAATCTTCCAGATAACTGAAGTTTCCTCAATTAACCATTAAAATGGTTCCAAGATGTCAAATGTTAAACCAGTTTCTATTAGTAGGTAAAATAGGATGGGATAAACTCTAAGTAAATAGAACCTAAAACTTTATATGTGAACCCCCCAAATTCTATGTGATACAGATAATACACATCTAAAGGCAAATATATAAATTATGTCTTTTGTAAGTTCTACAAAACACCAAATGTTGATGATTATCTATCAGTTGTTAAACAATAAGCTGCTGGTAAAATGCTACCTGGTTTAATGTTAATTATGGAGAATTTAACTAAAAAAAGGATTTCCCCCATCAGTGGCTTATCTATTCCTTGCTAGCTCTTGGGAGGTAGGCAGGATAGCTTCCGGCAGGTTAAGGTAATCATACTGGCGTCAACAGGTGAGAAACAGCCTATTTATCATGTCTGAAGAAAAGTAGCAAATATTCCCCAAGTAATTATAAAACACAAATAAAAGAAAATTATTTGCGTAGGAAATGACCAATAATGCATCTGTAAACCACTTATATCTGCACAGTGTGTATGCTTGTGAGGCAGTGTCCCCGCAATTAAAGGAGAGGAAAAAACCTATTAGTCTACTGCCCACTTTCTGAGAACATTTCTGCCTCAGACAATGCTCATTTGTCAACTGACAGATCAGTCACCACTGTGGAGGCTCAGGCTTTATGTAAGTTAATGCATGCAGAAGCTTCAAGGACTGTGATGATGTCATACTTGGTAGAGAAAGCTTAGGATTTAATTTCTTGTCAAATTTATATTTGGGACTATACATTAAGTTCTTTCAAACTTCTCCTGCCAATAGATCCATTTTGGTTTCTCCCACCATGGGAAGAAGACCAATCCAGTGTGAGGCATCAGTCACTATTCCAGGTCCTGGAATGGACTGTGGGTTCACTGGCACCCTAAGCCCAATGCATGATGGACCCCTCCCTCTGCTTTCCTGGTGGGCCTCATGGCAGTCATCAGTTTCCTTAAGCTAGCATAAGGCAGCCCCTAAATCAGGGTGGGGGGAAAGGGAAAATTAAGACTTTGGCCTAAAGAGGGTTCCACAGACATGACAGGTACTAACAAGCAGGGAGGAATTCCTGGAGAAGTAAGTCTGAGAAGCAAAGGGTTAAGCAACAGGCCTTCTTAGCCTTTAAAATGCTAATAAGCACTAGGACTCTCCGTCCCAACTAGTGTTACACAGAAAGCTGCCTAGTTCCAGAACAAACAGATTTGGTTTAACCCTTTTTTCCTCATGCCACCAAAGAGATAATGAAAAAGAATCACATTATACTGTCTCTGAACACATCATTCTATTTAATGATTCTTTGTTTTATCTATTACTTCTCTTCACCCTACTCCTCTCACCTAGACTCTTGGTAACTTGATAGCAGGGCTATTTCCCCGTTCCTTGTGATACCCTGCACTGTGCAACAGAGACAGTGCGTGGTCACAAAATATATGCTGCCTGTGTTACTAATAAGCTTCTACATATGAACCAAATAAGCAAGTGTGAATGTTTGAAGAGTTGGTGATAATTATTTTCTTTCTCAAATGATTTGGGAAAGTCAAAGTTCACAGAAACGGCTGAAGTACAACAAAACTCAAGTCCACATCTGAATCTGAATCCAAGAAGTGACTTAGGTAGGAAAAGGAAATCTGCACTCATTTGTTCAAGAGACATATATTAAGTCTTACCTGTTCTAGAGTAAATAAAATGAAGCCCTTACTCTTATGAGGATTATGTTTTAGTTGGAGAGACAGATCATAAATAAACAAACTAACATACCATCTGTCAAGTGTTAAACACTGAAGAAGGGAAAGGGAAGGCGGGGGGGGGGGTGTTGCTTTAGAACTGATGGTCAGGGAAGTTTACTATGGTGACATTCAATATCTATGTTTAACAAGGTGACGTTAAGTAGACTTGAAGTGTGAGAGAGCAAAGCATGACTACTGAGAAAACATTCCAGCAGAGCGATTTAAAAATGCAAAGGTCCTGAGTTTGCAATGTACTTGGCACATCTGAGGTACAGAAGAATAAACAGAAGCCAGTGTGGCAGGCTGAGTGATGAGAATAGCAGATGAGGTCAGAGAAGTACCTAGGAGCAGGATTAAGTGCGGTTTTACAGCCCTATATTGTACGTTGAGTAAGCTGGAGAGTTTTGAATAAAGGACTGACACACTACCTTGTGTTTTAAAAAGCATCGCTCTGGCTGAAGATTGCTGTAGTGGAGCAAGGGTGGATGCTTGGAGACAGGAGGCTACTGCAATGGGCCAGGGAAAAGAGGACGGTGGCCTGCATCAAAGTGTGCAAGTGGGACAGCTAACAAGTGAGAGCTGCTAAGATGACATTTTGGCTGATGGAATATTTGATGTGGGATGTAAGAAAAAGAGAAAAGGTGTTTTTTTTTTTTTATCCTCACCCGAGGATATTTTTCCATTTTTTGTACAGATAGAGTGGGAGGGAGAGAGAGGAAGGGAGAGAGAGAGAGAAACATCGAAGTGAAAGGGACACATCGAGTGGCTGCCACCCGCACGACCAACCAGGGCTGGGGACAAACTGCAACCGAAGTACGTGCCCTTAGTGGGAACCGAACCCGGGTCTCTCCGGACTGCAGGCCGACGCTCTAACCGCTGAGCCAAACTGGCCAGGGCGAGAAAAGGTGTTTTTTGAATAACTGAAAAAATGGAGCTGTTTACTGAGATGGGGAAAAGTAGAAGAGGAGCATGTTTTAGGAAGAATGTCACTTAGTTTTCATCATGTTGTTCGAGATGCCTATAAGACTTCTATGTGAAGATGTCGATTAGACAGTTGTATATACAGTATGGTGTTCAGGGAAGAAGTCTGGGCTAGAGATTTGTATCTGGGAGTCACAGCACAGAGACAGCACGTATGGCAATAAGATTGGGTGATATAACCAAGGGAGTAGATATGGGGAAGAGATCCTTGAAGGAGCTCTGTGGCCCTCAAATGGAGATCAGGGAGATGAGAAAATTGAGAGAATAGGAGGGTCACATTTCAAGAGGAAAGTTGTTCCAGAAACCAAATGAAGAAAGAGTGCCAAGAAAGAATAAATTCTTGACTATGTCAAGTTCTAGCGATGCTCACTGCTCTTGACATAATGACCTTGACAAGAATACTTCTGGTGGAGTGGTAGGGATGAAAAGTCTGGTTGGTTCAAGAAGGAATGGGAGGAAAGGGAGTGACAGAGTATAGTCTTTTAATGAATTTAATTGTCAAGGGGAACAGACCTGTCAGCATGACTGTTTTTTTTCAAGCCACATTTAAATGCTAAGTGTAGCTATGGAGCAAGAGTTTAAGCTGAATTTCATTAGGAGCACTTTGCCAAGCACAGGTGCGAAAAAGGGAGAGCTGGGCAAGGAAGTTGAGAGTGCCTATAGGGAGTAATTACAATGACAGACCATGAAATCTTAAGTGGATTTAGGAAGCTGGGATTAGGATACATTAGGAGACTAAATTCTTCTTGCATGTTATGTAGACAGTTCCATTTCTACCTAATTTATACCCAGTACCAATTGAGAGCTACACAGTTTTTTACAGTCTTCACTGAGAGCTACATAGTTCTCTCACAAAATTTCCTCTTTCACCTTTCAGTGAACTTTAAGAGAATATGGTCTTGAGTTTTCAACTTTAACTGCCTTACTTATTATGCTGTCAGATCAAATGGCTTCCTTGTCATTAGAACCAAATTAAAACCCTTAAAAATCTCAAATGATGTGTGAAAAGTTCATCAGCCAGGATTTGGGGGGAAATTACTTTAGTGAGATAATTCTAAGGAAAATGGGCAAGATGGGGACATTGAAAATCTAGATTCAAAAAGCTGGGTAAGGCAGAATGACTCAAGAAGCCTTGAAACCATTAAAAATACTGAGAAGAGTGAAACCTGTCTGAATTCAACTCTATTGAATTTTAACATTTTCATTCTTGCTTTATATTTTTAAGTAAGTGCTTTTGTAAAGAAAGACTTTTTTATAAGTACCCATTACTACACCTGTTCCAGGGAACTTCTGTTCCTCAAGTTCTATTCTCTAGGTGTGCTGGGGTGGGATGAAAGATTGAGGGACACTAGACTACAGTTTCTCTACTGTAAACACACAAATTTGCCTTGTGAATCACTCAAAGGATTTAAAAATCATCATTTTTCTTTGCTAATAACATAAAATTCAGTTCTTTGAATTTTCAAATTGCAATAGCCAATAACCTTCTATTTAGATTGTGAAGGAATGGCTGTTTTTATGTGCAGAGTATCAGGGATGCTTGAGGAACAAACTGTCTTACTTGTTGTTTCCCATTGCTCCTTGCTGCCAGGCCTTCATGTCTGGTGACTGGTAGCCAGAAGCAGGTGAAGTCTGCTGGAGCAGAGAGCTCTGAGGAGGAGGGATTGGCATCGGCACCATGGAGCTCCCAGGGCTCAGAGATGGAGCAAAGGTGGTCTCACCTTGGGGAACCATTCCTGCAAATGAACACAAATTAACTTATGTGAATACACTATACATTTATTAACTCACAAGGATCTTTAGAAATATCCTAATCAATAGAACAGAAAATAAAATTCTGTTTCTTAAAAATAAGGCAGGAAATTTCAGTATAAAGAGACAGATAAATAAACATATAAAATAAGTTTGGAAGAGTATTTTCTATTCTAAGATGCTGACTTGCATACCAGGATTACATGTGATTTTTTTCCCTGTTCTATCTTACTTACATGAATTTCTAAGGGCCAAAACACATATGAACATACATGACAGATTACTTGTGTAATAAAGATAAGTTGAAAAAGCAAAGATAAGAACCACTCATGTGTGAAATGAAAAATGAGTTTTGTTAGCCACTCCTCTTCAGTCATCTTTGTGTGCTCTTGACTTCCTAGCCTTTTTCTTTTTCTTTTTTTGCTTTATTGAGATATAAACTACATAGCATCAAATTCACCCACTGAACTGCACAACTCAATGTTTGTAAATAAATTTATTGAGTTACACAACCATCACCACAGTCCAGTTTATACATTTTCATCATCTCCATATTCACTGTGCCTGTGTATAAACAATCACACTACTACTACCTCTAGCCTTTAGGCAACCACTGCTCTGCTTTCCATCTCTACCAATCTGCCTCTTTTTTGAAAATTACATATAAACATAATCATGAGGTGTTCTGTGTCTGGCTTCTTTCACTTAGCATACTATTTTTGAGCTTCAATCATTCTGTAGCAGTTAACAGTAATTTGTTCCTTTTTATTCAGACTATTTATTGATTAAACTATTGAAAATCAATTGACCATTAAAGTCAATCATTCTGTTGCAGTGATCCATATGTCTATACTTGTACCAATACCACAGTGTCTTAATTGTTGTAACTTTATGGAAAGTTTTAAAACTGGTAGTCATCCAACTTTGTGTCTTGGCTACCCCTTTGCATTTCCATATAAATTTTAGGAGAAGCTTGTCAATTTCTTCAAAAAGCATGTTTTTGTTTTTTTAAATCCTCACCTGAGCATATGTTTACTGATTTTAGAGAGAGAAGAAGAGAGAGTGAAATATTGATCAGTTACCTCCCATTTGTGCCCTGACCAATGATCAAACCTGCAACCCTGACCAGGAATTGAACCCGAAACCTTTTGGGGTATGGGATGATGCTCCAACCAACTGGGTCACCTAGACAGGGCTTGTTTATTGATAGGAACTGCACTGAATTATAAGATAAATTTGAAATGAATTACTGTAGTTTCAAATATTTTTTTCTCTAATTTCTACTGCTGTATCTTTTTTTTTTTTTAATTTTTTTTTTATCCTCACCCGAGGACATTTTCCCATTTTTTACTCAGATAGAGAGGGAAGGAGAGAGAGGAAGAGAGAGAAACATCGACGTGAAAGGAACACATCCAGTGGCCGCCACCCACATGAACCAACCAGGGCCGGGGACAAACTGCAGCCAAGGCACATGCCCCTAGGGGGAACCGAACCCGGGTCTCTGTGGACCGCAGGCCGACGCTCTAACCGCTGAGTCAAACCGGCCAGGGCTCTACTGCTGTATCTTCAAGTTCACTATTTTTTTTTCTTTGTAATGTCTAATCTGTGTCTTATCCCATTCAGTATACTTTTCATCTCAGACATTATAGTTTTCATCTCCAGAAGTTTGATTTTGGATTTTTTAATATTATCCATACCTTGACTTAACATGTTCAAGCTTTCCTCTAACTTCTTGAACATACAAAATAAATGCAGAATTTATAATTGTCTTAACATCCCCATCTATTAGTTCTATCACCTGTGTAATTTCTAGGTTGGTTTTGATGGGCTGATTTTTCCCCTCATTATTGGCTATATTTTCCTGCTTCTTTGCTTGCCTGGTAATTTAAAAAAATGATTCCAGACATTGTGAATTTTACCTTGTTAGGTGCTCAATTTAAAAAATTCCTTTGCATATTTTTGACATTTGTCAGGGTTATGGTTACATGAAAACAGTTTAATTCTTTTGGGTGTTGTGCTTAAAGAGACAAGAGCAGACAAAGTTCAGTCTTGCTCATTACTGAGGCAAAACCCTTCTGAGTATTCCGCCTGACACTCCATGAATTATGAACTTTCTATTCTGGCTGGTGGGAAGAGGTATTGGCTGTGTGTGTGAACTTTTTTTTTTAATATCCTCACCCGAGAACATTTTTCCCATTTTTTGTTTGGATAGAGTGGGAGGGAGAGAGAGGGGGGGAGGGAGGGAGGGAGGGGGAGAGAGAGAGAGAGAGAGAGAGAGAGAAACATCGATGTGAAAGGGACACATCAAGTGGCTGCCACCTGCACGACCAACCAGGGCTGGGGACAAACTGCAACTGAGGTACGCGCCCTTAGCGGGAACCGAACCCGGGTCTCTCAGGACCGCAGGCTGACGCTCTAACCGCTGAGCCAAACCGGCCAGGGCTAATTTATTTTTTTATCCTCACTTGAGGATATTTTTTTTGCATTTACCTTGAGATAGAGCAGGAGAGAGAAGGGGAGGAAGAGAGAGAGAGAAACATTGACGTGAGAGAGACACATCGAGTGGTCACCACCCACACAACCCCATTGGGCTGGCGACAAACCACAACCAAGGTACGTGCCCTTTGTAGGAACTGAACCTGAGCCACTCTGGTCCGCGGGCCGACACTCTAAATGCCGAGTCAAACCAGCCAGGGCAAGATTTTATAAATAAAGCTATATTTTTTCCTTGCTATTTCTGCCATATGTAATTTAATCTCTGGTAAATAATTCTGACTTAGAATACAGACAATATTTTTTTTCTATTTATAAAAGTGGGACTCTACAGGGTGGGTTATTTTCCCATTCATGTTAACCATTTTCATATATGTTGACTGCCTTTGAATAAATTCTATATTTTAAATTTCAACTATTTTGGTTGTGAGCCTTAATAAACACTTGTCTGTTACTAATGTATTTTTTACCTTATTTATGATAAAATAATTTCTTTCATAAAAACTATATATTTGAAGGGGAAAAGATACTTATCACACTCTGGATATTACCCTGTGGGATCAAAGTAAACAGTAAATAAGAGACTGCAAATACATCGCCATGCTTTTTGACATTTCTTTCTGGCTTTATCTCACATCTTAACTGCCATGTTTTCCTTATCAGATGACCTAGTTTTAGTAGAAAGAACCAGCCTATCAATAAAGAATTGGAAAGGTGGTTAGAGTTCCAGTCCCAGTTCTGCCAATACAAAGACCTCGAATTCCTTGAATCAGACAATCTAATTTAAAAAGTCTACAATTCCATCTTTGCCTAGACTACGTTAACTTTGCCTAGCCACTTGTTAACTTAGCTGCCTTTATTTTTAAACAGCAAGTTTCTTGAGTAAGCAAAGTGTGATATTTCAATCTCTTTCTCAGGCGCTTAGCACAGTAGTTGGGTGGGGGTGGGGAGTAGATACTTAATGAATCTTCGAAGAAATACATGGAATGTATTTCTCAATGAAGGCTCATAACTGGAGTGTCAGGGAAGGTTTCTTAGAGGAGGTAACTCTGAGAGAAGGAAGTAACAGGAATGATACAGGTGAGGGAAATGGGTTGACACTCAACCACTGAGCCACACTGGCCAGGCTAGGGAAGGATATTTTAGACAGAGGGTACAAGATGATCAGAATCCTAGAAGTAAAAGGGAACAAGGTGTGTATTCTTTCTTGGAACCCGAGAAGTTTGTTATAGCTGGAACACTGAGATATGGAAGAAGGTGAAGTGGAGTTGGTGAGTCTAACTTTGGACATGTTGAGTTTGGGGTGTTGGTGGAAAACTGAAGTATGTCTGTCCGGTAGGCAACTGTACATGAGCTGAGAGATCTGGTGTAGAGATAGAGAACAGAATCATCAGCATGAAGAGGTCACTGAAGCTACAGGAGCAGATGAGACCAATGAGAGGAGTGGGTGGAAGGGTTTGTTCACAAGGAATTCATGAAGGGGGCACAATATTTTTAAAAAATATCCCTCATATTTACTTAGAATATTGCCTTTGTATAAAATAATTCTTTAAAAGCCTAATTATGTTCTAGTGTACTCATCTTCATTAGCATAATAGCCTAGGAAAAATTTCTATTTTCAGTAATAAAAGGAAGCATACTCTGCCATTACTGTTACCTATATGTTCCTTCAGTTACTTTGGGCCTATATTAAGCTGAAAGAAGCCAAAACAATGGACTAAAGCTAAGTTAATGCATTCATCTTTTGGTTTTACTATCACCAATTAACACAGATCAGCAAACTTTTTCTGCGAAGGGCCAAATAATAAATATTTTTGGTTTTGCAAGTAATAAGGTTTCTGTAACAACTACAGAATTCTGTTGTGTGAAACCAGCTGTAGATGATATATAAACTAATGAGCATGGCTGTGTTCCAATAAAACTTTATTTACAGAAATGTGGTGGCTTTTCTCTTTTTCTTTTCCCTGAGAAGGCTTGCTTTGAAAAGGTTGCAACTTTTCCAGAACTTGCATGTGTACCAACACAAAACCTGGTCTTGAAGCCTTCTACTAGGCTGCTGATCATACTGGAGCAAGTTTTTACCTTAGAGCAGTGGAAGAAATTATAAACATTTTATCTTTAAGTGTTCTTATGCTATCCAGAAGAACTAACATCTCCCCTCTATTATTTTAAAGCAGTTTATGGAAGAACTGAAAGTTCTGCCATTTCATTTCAGTCTGCAACTTGGATGAAACTACTGTTCTCTCCACTGTACCCAGCTTCTGGGTTTTGTTTGTAGCATTACTGCCGGCTTTATCAAAGAAAAATTCTTATTTTGTGAAAGGAATTTTTTGTCAATCAAAAGTTGGGCTGGAACAAAAATCTGGGTACCAGATACAGCACCCATGGTGGGTGGCAACTCATCCGGTTACATCGCATGGGGAAGAGGAAGGCCCGCCCACTCATTACCTGTCACTGTGTTCTATATATTGACATGCAAGAGATCAAAGACTAGACCCACAACCCTGAAAGAAATCTTGTCAACGTCGAGGAAGTGGGGCTTTGAAGCACTGCTTTTCCAGGTGGCTTTGTTAAAGGAACTAAAGCAGGATAGGAAGTTCTCCTTCATCAGCTTTCCAGAGAAGAGGTGTTAAAGGAAAGAGCATGACTGAAAATTGACAGAAGTACTATTTTTTATAAAAGAAAAAAAATCCTTAGGGTATTTATTAATGTTTGGCTTACTTGTAGCTGGTCTCCCCGTACCCACGAATAAGATAAATCTTTTGATTTATGGCTCTGCAATCAATATCATGCCATGTTGGCTAGGTTGAGATTTTACAAGAGGAAGGGGTAAACAGGCAACTATAGAAGCTTCTGATGTTGCAGAAAGTACTTCTGCAAGCTAGAGTAAAGTGAAAAGGCCTTGTCAAATTCTTTGCCTACAGAAGTCGTAAGAAATAAAACTCTTTTGGAAGGCCACTCCTGTTCAGACAATCTTATAATGAAAATGTGGATTTATAGTCCTTCTGTTGCCTACACAGACAGTATTAGAGATACAAACCAGCCAAAGATGACTTCATTGTCTTGAAAACAAGGGAACTGATGTGGCATAATTTTGATTAAAATGTCTTAGAGAATTCTGGTGCTCTCTGATACAAGTCTCCCTACACGTAATTTGATAGTCAAAGGATTATAGCACTGGTTGCTATAAGGATGAAAAGTCTAAATTAATTTGGCTGTCAAAGTTGATGAGCATATTGCCATGTCAAAAATCTCTAAATAACTTCACCATTTTATTCCAGTCAAAAAGCTGCCTTCCCATTGATATTCATGTTTATTTTTTTTTTATCCTCACCCGAGGACATTTTTCCATTTTTTGTTCAGGTAGAGTGGGAGGGAGAGAGAGGAACAGAGAGAGAGAGAGAGAAACATCGATGTGAAAGGAACACATCGAGTGGCTGCCACCCGCACGACCGACCAGGGCCGGGGACAAACTGCAACCGAGGTACGCGCCCTTAGCGGGAACCGAACCCGGGTCTCTCAGGACCGCAGGCTGACGCTCTAACCGCTGAGCCAAACCGGCCAGGGCGATATTCATGTTTAAACAGCTTAACATTTACCTTTTCTTTCACTTATAAAGTCAAGGAATTTATTTCAATTTTTTCAGGAATTGTCCATTAATTTTGTGTCAAAGTTTGATTAAGCCTGATGGATTAATCAAAGGTGTTTTATTGCCACTACCTATTAGAGTCTCAAAGTGATACGAGTAAAAAAAGATATCATCACCTGGACAAAGAGGATGTGAGAGTGTGCAAATGAAAGATTAAGAAAGAAAAAACCTTTTGGAAGCCAGAGAGTTGCCTAGTATTGCAGGAATAGCTTACAACCTAAGCAGCTGAGTGGTGACACCAATGGGAAGTCTGAGATACTTTGTGAAGATTGACTATCCTTAGGTAAACTATCAGAGTTTTCAACATAATAAAAGAAACTGTATCCAAATTATGAGTTAATGTATTTAAATCCATTGTGTGAAATAAACTTTCATTAGATTGTTGTAAGTATTCATGAGAGAAAGTAAGAAAATAAGAGAATGTACTTTGCAGACATGTCCTTATATATCCTCTAATTTAATAATATCAGCCATCAAAGAGAGATACGAGCCTCAAATCATTCAAGCATTTACTGGCAAAAGGTGAGTCTGGAACCTGGACCTCCTGACTCCCATGTCAGTGTCCTTCTTTAGCACTGCTTCAACGTCACTGAACTGAAGCACACATAAAGAGAGACCTGTGCGCAGTACTTATAAAAGCAACAATGCTGTGATCCTCATACCTGATCCTGGATACTGGAAGACATTCTGCTGCATCTGAGGATTGATTCCAGCCCCAAACTGTCCTCCCATGTTTCCTGCCATGCCTCTGTTCACCATGCTATTGCGGTTGGCCAAGGTTGCCTCAGGATTTGCTGCCAGTTGTGAAAATGGGCTGGTAGAAGCGGGTGGGGTTCCTGGATTTGTACCGTAGTTTGGTGGGTAGGGGAACTGCTGCGGAGCACCCTGAGGAAGACGGGGGTTCCCCATTTGCACTGGCAGTCCAGATGAGGGAGGGAGGTTGTTCCCAAAGCTTTGTTGCCTCATAAGCATGGCTCTTTGCTGCTGTATTAGCTGCCTCTGTCGGTGCTGTTGGCTGTATAGTTCCCGCTGGCGCTGGGCCAACATCTGGGCATTCAGGGGTGGCTGCAAAGGAGGAAAAATTCTTCACTTATTAATATTATTATAATCTCTACCTACGAAAGGTTACAAGATAAAGCCTAGTAGCTTGGGGCAACAAAATATGTAGCAACTACCAGTGTACAAAGAAAAATAAAACTGAAAAGGAACAAAAACCTCAAGTAATAATCACAGGAGATAAAATGAATTAGGTTAAAGGTAGCTGAGCTCTGGCCAGTTTGGCTCAGCGTTAGAGTGTCATCCCGCAGACCAACGAGTCGTGGGTTTGATTCCAGCCAAGGGCACATACATCAGTTGGGGTTTGTTGCTGGTCCTGGTCAGGGTTGTGTAGGAGGCAACCAGTCAGTGTGTCCCTCTCTCACATTGATGTTTTTCTCTCTCTCTACCCCCCTCCCACTCTATCTGAAGATATTTGAGAAAATATCCTCAGGTGAGGATTAAAAAAAAAAGGTAGCTGAGAAGTGCTAAAACAATATCATGACCATTAAAATGGGTTAAATGCAAAATCTCAAAAAGTGACACAGAACTGAGGAAAGTCAAAGAAGTATACATTGATTAGTATTGTAATACAGGTCATAAAAAGTTGTTTAAGGAAACATGAAAACCATAAAGAAGAGAAAGAAATGTGATGGATGACTTCTACCTTATCTCACATTAGGTTGTTAGGAGATTTTTTTCTTTTCCATTTCTAAAAATTTTACAGTGTCCTCCTTTTCACACTGAATAATTTATTCCACTTTACTTAAATAAATAAAATGAGATTATAGGTGGGTTTTTTTTCCTATATTCTTCTCAGTATTTTCAAAATTATCTATAATGAACATGTATTATCTTTATAATTTAAAAAAATCTACAAATACCACTAAAAAAGGAAAATTCAGAAATCCAGGATCAAATGACAAATAAATTACTACTAAAAAAAATATTTAATTAGAAATGAAATAATACACAGAAACAAATGGAATCAGCTATTTTTTAAAAATATGCTTTTATTGATTTTTTTTTTAGAGAAAGAAGAAGGGAAAGAGATAGAATCATCAGTGTGAGAGAGAAACATTGATCGGCTACCTTCTACACGCTCCCCACTGGGGATTGAGCCCACAACCGAGGTATGTGCCCTGACTAGGAATCAAACTGGGACCTCTCTCAGTCCATGGGACGATGCTCAATCCACTGAGCCACACCAGTCAGGTGGAACCAGCTATTTTATATCATTGTTGCAGTACAAGACTCTCTAGGTATTAGAGTGTTTTAATAGCTATGGTATTATGAATGAAGAAAGAAGTGGTAAAATTAGGTTGAAATCAGTTTTTGATCTAATTTGCAAAGCAATATGGCATGTCAATAAAGCCTTCCTCAGAAAATATCAATTCAGATTGAAGACCCGATTAAAGCATATGGCTCCATTAAAACTAAACTTGCCAACTAGATATAGTCCGATCTAGAAGAAAGTGTGACATATGCCTTTCTGGTAGAAATTATCTTTATGCAAATTCCAAAATAGGGTCTTATTTCCTTATAATCTAATTACCCTTGCGTGAGCTAACCACTAAGATTTAGGAGACATAGATACCCAAATCTGTATCCATGAAGATGCCAATATCTGCTGCTTACCAACAGTTACTGTCAGTATTTATCCTTTTGGTTAGTGTTGCCCCCAATCCATCTAGGTCCATTTTATGGAGAAAATGAAGAGTTTTGTTTGAATCCCCTCTAAAATCCTTCATCTCCCAAATTTTTGTGTCAATTTGGTTAAGGAAACATAAAAAAGTGGTTAAAGCAAAAATATTAAACTATGTGTGGAAGTTAAGTAGGGAGTGAGAACTAGATAATACTTAGAAGGCCAGCTTTTTAAATTTTTTATCCTCACCCGAGGACATTTTTGCATTCATCTTCAGATAGAGAGGGAGGGAGAGAGAGAGGAAGAGAGAGAGAGAGAGAGAGAGAGAAAGGCTGATGTGAGAGAGACACAATGACTGGTTGCCACCCACATGACCCCAACCAAGGCCGGGGATAAACTGCAACCAAGGTATGTGCCCTTGGCGGAATCTGAACCCGGGACTCTCTGGTCCGTGGGCCGACACTCTAACTGCTGAGCCAAACCAGCCAGGGCAGGCCAGTTCTTTTTATGTTTAACGTTCCAATGGCTCTGGGTTCATGTACAAGAATCATTCAAATAAATAAAAAAACAGAAAATACTGATGCTCAGACAGACTTGAGAACACAAGATAGTGAAGATAACTCAGCAATGTGATGGGGTTTGGATCAGGTTTCAGGTACCATTCACACAGTCTCATATTTTAGGCTTCTTATCACTAGCACTCTTCAGTACAGCAGTAAGAATTTTCTACTTTCTGCTGGAATCTGATAGCAGTGAAAACAATAACAATAAACAAAACAAAGAACCCTCAGCTTTTGATCAAATATCAGTAAGGGATATCACAAGTTCATTATAAATTCATTCTAGAAGAGACCTATACTTATAAACATCATTAAAAGATCAGCTCACCGACCGTTTCAAAGACACTCAAGTCAACACTTCAGGAAACAAGGCTCGGTTAGAAAAGTACTAACAATGTCTGGTTCTCTCACATTACCTGAGGTGTAATTTGCTGCTGAATGCCTGATCTCATATTGATGCCAACAGGAGCATTTGCTGCAAACTGGTTCAAGATAGCTTGCCGATTTTGGTGTATCAACTAGAGAAAAATGAAAAAAAATGAGATATTTCAACATAAAAATATGTAGCACAGACCTTAAAGGTAATATAAAAATTTTATTGATTACTAACAAGTTTTTAGTATTGCACATTTAGTAAGACTATTCCCTATTTTTATTTGCCATAGGCTCGTAATTCCTATCATATATCAAATATTTCTCCCTATACTAAATATGGCAGAGCTTTAAAAGTAGAATACACACACATGCAAATATATATATGCATATAGGTATGTGTGTGAGGCGAACGTGATAACCACTACACTACGGAAACACGTTACAGGTATGTGTGTGTATACTATATTTTCAAATGTTCTGACATAAATGCTCTACCACTAAAACACACACACACACACACACACACATGCTCTGGCTGTTTTGGCGTTTGGAGCGTCGGCCTGCAAACCAAAGGGTCGCGGGTTCACTTCTGGTCAAGGGCATGTACCTTGGTTATAGTTCGATCCCTGGCCCTAGTTGAGGAGGCAACCAATTGGTCTGTCTCTCTCACACTGATGTTTCTCTCTCTCCCTCTCTCTCTCCCCCCTCCCACTCTGTCTAAAAATCAATGGAAAAGTGTTCTCAGGTGAGGATTAAACACACACACACACACACACACACACGCATTTATCATACTTTGATAAAACATGTTAATAATTAGTTATTTCAGGTAAGTGCAAGAAGGGAGAGAAAAGTAACAGCTCTAAGTCATAAAACCATTGTGAGTAAAAAGGTAAGTATGCAATTGGGCACATTCTACAAAGGTCTGGAAGATAAATGGAAAAGTTGAGATACTTCTCACTTGGAGGGTGTCTAACAGGCACATATTTGGGGAAAATCCAATGTGATTTCATTAGCTGAAGAGAATTATGTAAGAACCAAATGGTCTGAGAAAATGGACTATTTATTTAACTGGAAGAAGTAATTACTTTAGACCAGCAGTTCCCAAATTGGTGTTCTAAAAGAACATTGTTCTGCAGGATATTAATAGATGTGCCAGGAAAATAGCATGCTGTGCTGTATTAAGTACTGGAAATGATGGGTTACACAAGGTGAAACAGATTTCTTTACTGCAGTAATTCTATGAGCACATTGTGGATCTCCAAGAAGGGGATATACTATGCAACTTATTTATCACAAATCTTTTTTTCTGACAAATAGCCATTAACAGTATCTACTAGAACAATCTTCTATGAAATGCCGGTTTGGAAGATGCTATCTATATCAGGCTTAGGGTTCCAGGTCACAGACATGCCTTAACTTATCTGGTAATTAAACCAGCATCCTTGGAGGTTATATATCCCTATAAATGATCTATAGCTTAAAGAATTTCTTGCTCAATAATTTGATATGAATAAACTGTCCAGAGAGATAATATTAACAATAATAACAACACTATTTTGTTTATATGATACTTCATAAGTTATAAATTACTTATAAAATACATTGATATAGCCTGGCCAGTATGGCTCAGTGGTTGAGTGTTGACCCATGCACCAAGAGGTCGCCAGTCTGATTCCTGGTCAGGGCACATGCCCAGGTTGTGGGCCAAACACCCAGTGGGGGGCACGTAGGAGCGGCCAATTGATGTTCTCTTTCATCAATGTTTCTATCCCTCTCTCTCCCTCTCCCTTCCTCTCTCTCTAACATGAATTAAAAAAATATTGATATGTATTTGAATATATTATATTTTAATAAATTCTATTTATTTATTTATTTTTTTATCATCCTCACCTGAGGACATTTTTCCATTTTTTGTCCAGGTAGAGTGGGAGGGAGAGAGAGGAACAGAGAGAGAGAGAAACATCGATGTGAAAAGGGACACACCGAGTGGTCGCCACCCGCACAACCAACCAGGGCTAGGGACAAACTGCAACCGAGGCACATGCCACTAGCGGGAACCAAACCCGGGTCTCTCCGGACCGCAGGCTGATGCTCTAACCGCTGAGCCAAACCGGCCAGGGCTATTTTAATAAATTTTATACATTTTAATATACTACATGCAAACTAGAAAGCTCATGAAAGTTTTGTAAGAAAATCAAAGAGCTGTGAACAGTGATTAAATCTTTCATGTCTAAAAAGCTCAATTCTTAATTAGGGTTTCATTCATTTTCTGACTCCCAGAAAACAAACTGAGGCGAGGTGGTGGTGGTGCCGGGAAGCTTGATATAACTTAGTTTTTTTTTTTTTCCTTTACTGATTTTAGAGAGAGAGGAAGTGAGAGGGAGAGACAGAAACATCGATGAGAGAGAACATTGACTGGCTGCCTCCTGCATGCCCCTCCCCCAGGGATCAGGCCCACAACCTGGGCATGTGTCCTGACTGGGATAGAGCTGGCAGCCTCTTGGTGCATGGGTCGACGCTCAACCACTGAGCCGCACTGGCCAGACACAATATAATTTAAATACTAAAATTACAACTTTCAGGCATTGTAGAATAGGATAAAACATTCAGAATCACTTCAAAAATAAAGATACCAACATTATGGTTTTAAAAGTCAAAGGGTCGCTTCAGTATCAAAATCTATATATTTCTTAAATTCAAGAGATCACGGGCATATGTTTAAATAAACTGTTAATTTCATAAAGATTTATCAAAAAAACTCATTGTTCATAGATTGTATATAAAGTTTGAAGGCTACCAAGGTGAGCAGTTTCCATCTTCTGGGAATTCTCTGCGGAGTGGCAGAGCTAATCCAGAACAGTACAATGCACAGTGCTGTGATCCAAATATACAGACATCTACAGCAGCATAGATGACCAACAACTAGCCTATGGCATGAAGGCAGGGACAAAGAACAGGACTGCCCTGGCTAGTCTGCCTCAGCAGTCAGAGCATCAGTCCACGGACCAAAGAGTAGCAGGTTCAATTCCGATCAAGGGTGTGTACCTCAGTTGTGTTTCAGGTAATGTGGGAGGCAACCAATTGATGTGTCTCTCTCACATCTATGGCTTTCTGGCTCTCTCTCTCTCTCCCTCCCTCCCTCTAGTTCTTTCTGAAGATAAATGGAAAAATATCTTCAGGTGAGGATTAAAAAAAAAAAAGAAAGAAAGAACAGGAGTGAGCTCAATGGGACCTTGAAAGGTTAACTTCAAGCAGAAAGAGCAGCAAGTATAAGAAAAAGAGAAGGCAATAAGGATAAGCGAAATACTTTAATACTTGGTGATGCAGAGAAGTAAAACTGACGGGGGAGTGGGAGCTGGGATTCCACATTTATAGCTATATATATATATATCCTTCCAATATATAAAGTTATACATTTGAGATATGGTGACAATTAAGTGGGTGGGGGTGGAGAAAAGATGCTTGAGAAATAGTAAAAATGAAAAACAAAAAACAAAACAACCCTTAGAAAATAAGCTATTTTTAAAACTAGAAGGATTACTCTAAATAGCAGCAATCTACAATCGAGTTCTATTAAAGAAAAATGGATTGATCTCTGCCTATAAAACAACTATTGTTCATGTTTCCCTTCCCTTGACTATCCATGTGTACAACTGTCTCACTCCAACTAGCTTCTTCTAATTACCAAAATGTTACCCATTTTCCAGCAAGTAGGTGAAGTTCTACTTCTTCCAAGGAAGTCTTCCCCAAAGGATCACCATATCCTTTGTCTCCTTGGAAATCTAAATCTTAACCTTTGGAGTTTGGGACATGAAAGGACAGGTTGGTAGTCCTGGGAACACAGTTCAAAAGCCTACAAAGGGCAGGCCAAAAGGCTTGTTGTATTACAAAAGGAAATGCAGGGCTTGTGTCCAGTGGAAGGATACAAACCCAGCCTCCGCATATAAAACACACCCAAACATGTACATGTGTGCATATACACATATACAGTTCAGGATAGCTGTCATTTTGTCTGCCTGAATGGATTTTTTTCAATGCCTTAGTAAGAAGTCTTTCTATAGTAAATCTAAAAGATGATTTTCTGTCCCAGAGGTTCTCAATCAGGGATGATTCTGCTCTCCAAGGGACAACTGGCAATGCCTGAAGACATTTTTGGTTGTTACAACGTGAGGAGGGGTTTCTGCTAGCATCTGGTGGGTAAAGGCCAGAGATGCTGCTGAACATCCTTCATTGCATGAGAAGCCCCCCCCCCCCCCCCAGCAAGAATCACTCAGCCCTAGAATGTTAGTAGTGCCAAGAGTAAGAATCCTGATATAGCCACTGCATACATTCTTGCAAGCCAAAGAGTTTTTTTTGTTTTTTAAAAAAATGAGTTTGGGCCAAACTTATGACATAAGGTGGGGAGCAAGATTTCAAGTGCTCTCCAAGGATTTTTTTAAAAAGAAGCTTATTCTTTTATCAGGCAATTTTTATTGCCAGAAATCTGAAGGTGAAACCTGCTTCTCTGTAGTTTCTGTTCTTTGAACTTAGATCTATTTTCTTGTTGCTTCTATTCTTTATAACAAATTATATCACTTTAACAAATTGATTAAAAGGTTATCAATAGTGTTTCTTACACCAGATCCATATCTTTCTTCAGTACCCTAACAACGAACATATCTGGACGTATACCTTATCTGTTTATCTGTCTTAACTATTACTTCCTCTTCATATATATATATATATTTTTTTATCCTCACCCGAGGATATTTTTCCATTTTTTGTACAGATAGAGTGGGAGGGAGAGAGAGGAAGGGAGAGAGAGAGAGAAACATCGACGTGAAGGGACACATCGAGTGGCTGCCACCCGCACGATCAACCAGGGCCGGGGACAAACTGCAACCGAAGTACGTGCCCTTAGCGGGAACCGAACCCGGGTCTCTCCGGACCGCAGGCCGACGCTCTAACCGCTGAGCCAAACTGGCCAGGGCTTCCTCTTCATATTATTATTATTTTTTGATAGTATGAAGATCATGTCCCTTGCTGGAGAAGAATAAAATAAAACTGGAATAGAATAATTGTATCTTTTGTCAGCCAATATTATACTATTTTCTATAAGCAGTAGACCTACCCATTTTTTGCTGTTGTCTTTTTTTCAAATTGAACTTTATAAGTTCTCACAGGTATTATGAGTATATTTCTTGACTCTTTGCTTATTTGAGATGTAAGCAGACACTATACCTACAGGCTTTAACTTTGTATTTCTTCTTAATCACTAGCTCCTTCCTTCATTTTGCCATCTCAACCAATGCATCTATACTAGTTTCCTAGGGTACTCTTTCTCCTCCTGTCCTCCAGTGGGAAATTATTCTTAACTGTACCATCCAGTCAATGAGATATACTTAAGGTCAAGAGATCATATGTTTTAAAACTGTTCTTAAGATCCATTAAAAAGAAGCAAACTATGATATATATCTGTGGACGTCCCCTTCTCTTCTCAGATCATCAGGCACGATGCTCACTTCCTGACTATTAGAAGCTTACATCTCCTGTGTTTGGCAAGAGAGAAGAGGGTATGAACAACAAGTAAACATGATATCAATCAGTAAGGTAAATGTATTAAAAACACCATGTTATGAATCTGACGTATTCTAGGTAGTAATCCTTTGTCTGTTATATGGGTTTGCAAATATTTTCCCTGAAATAACTTCCCTGAGCCTGTAGCTTGTCTTTCAATCTCATTTATGGTTTTACATTTTAACGCAAACATCAACCTTTTCCTTTATGTCCTCTTTATAAGGGGCCACAGAGCTCTTCTCATATTCACATTTTGGTCATTAACACATCTAGAATTTATTTTTGTATATGGCATGACAAAAGGATCTAATTTAATTCCTCCCCTCGTGGAGAGCTAAATGTACCAGCATTTATTACCAGGCCATCGTTTCCCCACTGCCACTTTTGTCACGTATTAAGTTTCTATATATGTCTAGTGTGTCTCTTGGCTCTCTATTACATTCCAATTAGTAGAACTGTCTATCCTATGGCAGTTCCACAATGTTTTAATTTTAAAAACTTGGCTTTAAATCTTGATATCTGGTAGGGCAAGTTCATCCTCATTCTTCTTTAAGGTTGTATTCATGCTTCCAAAATAAGTTTAGCATCTATATGTCAAATTCCATGCTGAGATTTTTATTGGAATTCCACTGAATTTATAGATTAACTTGAGAATGAATGCTGTCTTTATAATAGCCTTTAAATTAACAAATATCTTTTATCTGGATCTTCTTTTTGACTTTTAATTATGATTTACTTTTGCATATTGTGATATATTTTGAAATTATATTTTCTAATTGGTTGTTGCTAATAAAAAGGATTGTCATTAATTTTTATTTCTTGTTCTTTTATCCAGAAACCTTGCTGAACTTCTCTATTAGTTCTAAGTTCCCTGTAAATTCCCTTGGATTTTCTATGCAAGCAGATGTATTATTTGTAAATTATAATTTTATTTCTTACATATGCTTTCTATATTTCAAAACTCTTAGTAGGATGATGGTATTCTCTTTCCCCCTTCCCTGTACTGATGCAAACTTAGTTAAAATATACAATCTACTTTTAATGAAATTTAAAGTAGAAGGGTCTATGTTTCACTTTAGTTCCCCCATTTGATCCCAACTGTGAATTTACCTATATAATTTTAAATAGTTTATTTAAATCTTAATTTCTTGATTTTATCAGGTACTGTTATTGCCAACACAGCCATTTACTCTCTTCTTCCTCCTTGATGACAGAATTTAGAATTTTATTCAGCTAATTATCCCAAATCACAGATCTCCAGGAGTACTCTAAGTCAATTCTTGCCAGCAGTCGATTAAGGGTGTGCATGTGACTCAATTCTAGCTAGCCAGACATGGGAGGAAATTTTTTCTTTCTTTTTCTTTTTTCGGGGGTAGGTGGTGGTGGATGGAGGAAGAAGGGATACCAGTCGTTTGAAAAAGTTTCATGGCTTTTAAAACAAGATGCATAGGAAAGACATAGTCTTGTTTTCCATGCTAGTTTTGTTTGCATGTGGTATTTGTAACTATGGCAGCCATTTTTTCTAGTTGCCAAGGATCACAGGGTAAAAAGACAGAAAGAACCTGGGTCCTTGACAATATCCTTGAGTTTCTGAAGTAACCACACCTGGACATGTCTCTATTTTGCATCATCTCAATATCTGAGTCAAGATATTTTTTTTTTGCTTTACTACTTTTAGTTGATCTTTCTATTTCCCTTATTGCTGAGACAAGCCTTGGCCAGAACTCCTCCCCACATGGAAGACTGCAGTGCAAGAGCCATTACGGACTGTGTGCCCCACTGCTGAACAGAACGTATAGCCCTGAATCCAGGTCTGGATAATGTGGGTCATTAGGTAACAGAGTTATTGTCTTACATGGCAGTGTAAGTTTTTGTGTACTGACATATCTCAGGGCTTAAAACAGTGTGCCCCAAATTCTGTATTTGTCCAACTTAATGGATATATCACTCTTTTGAGTTACCAAGACTTCCAAACTTTGGACATGCTTCCATAATATTTAAAAGGAAGCAATGAAGAGCCATGTTCACCAGTTTGTATCCTTATTTCATGTACATTTTTTGCATGGCTATTCTGCTTGTCAACTGCTTTGGGAGCAAATCAAAGTAAATACAATTTTCTTCTAAACTAAGTATGAATTATCATTTCATCTATTCAGGAACCTGACCTAGATTGTTGAGCTGGCCTTGCTCTCTGAACCTGTAACTTTAGACAGCATTTACTGAACTCTATCCTGTAAAATGAGGAAATCAGCATACCTACATTTTCCACTCCTTTTTGGTTTAGCACTTAATCACTTATGGCTGGCACTGTTATTTAACTTTTTGGGCATTTATGTGTTAAATACGCCAAGCTGACTATAAGTTCTGAAAGTTGCCTGTATCTTTTTTTCTGTCTTCCTCAGAATACCTAACATAGTCCCCTTAAATATGTTTTATGAAAAATTATAGAGAAACTATTAAGCATTTCCTCTTCGTATGCTCTCTATCTTACAATGAATGACAAGTTATAACAGAAGTAATTTATCTTTAACTTATTCTCAGAACATATTACTACTCCCTTTCTCTGTCTCTCTTTTCTTCCTTCTCTTCCATTAGTTTCTCTTTGAGTCCTTTACTCCACTCCAACACTTATAAAGTTATTTCTTTTCATTATTCTACCATTAAATTATTTTTCCTATCTCATCTTTTCCTTTCTCTTTCTCTCTTTCATTATCTTTTAAGTGAAATGCAAGTACGTCTTATTTACTGTATTTATTGAATATAATTTTATAGTAACAGCTAGTATTTATTAAGTGCTACCACATGCCAGCTTTACATGCATTATCTCATTCAATCCACACAACCACCTATGAGGTAAAGGAATTAGTTATTAGACATTTTTTATAAATGAAGAACCAGAGGCTTGAAAAGGGTAGATAATCTGATTGTTGAACCACCTAGGTTAAGGTTAGCACCAGGATTTGAAACCAGAACTTATTCTTACCACCATTATAGCATGCCGCCTTTCTAATTTATCTCCTTTTCTTCCTTCCTGAACTAGTAAAGCTGCAGGAAATTTCTTTAAAAATTAAAAAAAAAAATCTGAAGCAATATACACTATGGTTTTAAAAAATACAGAAGAATTAATATGAAGAAACAGAGATCTACAGCCCCAGTCCCACTTCTCAGAGACAATAATTTTAACCTTTTTTGGTTCTTGAGGATTATCTTTTTATCTGCTGCATATAAGTCTTAACTATCTATGCCGCTACACCTACTCATTATCTTTCACGAGAGAGACTGAACTCACCCACAACACCCAAAACCCCCAAACTACCTTTCTTATATTCTCCTAGTATAACATCACTCCAACTTCAAACAACATAAACTTCATTTTCTGTTTCAACAGTCATAAACAGTATTTCTTGATACTCTACAAATTAAGCTAGGTTTCTCTTTATTAATTTCATAAACGTATGATGTTCATCCTAAATATTTTTTATTTTAAAAACAAGACTAAATTGTTTTTAAACTGTAGGTCTCAAAGTACTTTGTTATGAGCCAACAGTCTTTGTTTTGTTTTGTTTTGTTTTTTATCCTCACCCGAGGACACTTTTCCATATTTTGTTCAGATAGAGTGGGAGGGAGAGAGAGAGAGAAACATTGATGTGAAAGGGACACATCAAGTGGTTGCCACCCGCATGACCCATCCAGGGCCAAGGACAAACTGCAGCCGAGGTATGTGCCCTTAGCGGGAACTGAACCGGGGTCTCTCTGGACCGCAGGCTGATGCTCTACCTGCTGCGCCAACCCAGCCAGGGTGAGCCAACAGTCTTTGAATGAGTATGTCCCCTTTTCTTATCCTAGTAGGCCAAAGATGGTATTTTTCTTTTTTTTTTTTTTAATCCCCACCCAAGGACATTTTTCTATTTATTGTTCAGAGAGAGTGGGAAGGAGAGAGAGGAAGAGAGAGAGAGAGAGAGAGAGAGAGAGAGAGAGAGAGAGAGAGAGAGAGAGAAACATAGATGTGAAAGGGACACATCGAGTGGCTGCCTCCTGCACGACCCAATCAGGGCCGGGGACAAACTGCAACTGAGGTATGTGCCCTTAGCGGGAACTGAACCCGGGTCTCTCTGAACCTCTGGACCTCTGGACCGCAGGCCGACACTCTAACCGCTGAGCCAAACCAACCAGGGCCAAGGATGGTATTTTAAGTCTTTCATAAAGGTTCTGGGAGTAGACTTGACACCTTTGTTGTAGCAATTGGGCTGTCTTATTTCAAAGAAAACACATGCCTTTAAAAAATATCACCTGCTAAACAAAAGTACTCACCTGCTGTTGCCCCTGTAATCGCTGTTGAAGTTGAAGTCGAAGTTGGTTGGGTGCAGCTGGAGGTCTATTTAGAGTTTGCCTGGGCTGCATGCCCATGCCAGGTGAATAGGCGCCTCGGGGAGGTGTTACTTGAACAGGCATAGTCCCCAATGAAGGTTTTTGCCTGACCATGCCTTGGAAAGGGCTAGTGAGACTGGCAGTAGGTGAAGGAGAAGAATAAGGCTGGGAATAAAGGTTGGGTCTTTCTTCCATCATTAAAGGTGGTGTTGCTTGTTGTGGTGGAAATCTCTCAGATAATACATCTAATCCACCTCCCTGTTAGAAAATAAGCCAGAATATTTTACAAATATGTTTCTGCCAATAAATGACATGCTTCTCTAACTTTGAATCTGAGAGCATCTCGAGAAAGTTTCATCAGAATATATTCATGCTAAACTCATGAAGCTCTCCAGATGTTTACTACTTTAAGGAATCACCTCTGAAAGTTACTTTTGAAACGGAGTAACAGATTAAATAAGATGCTCAAAAACCTCAGTAAAAAAATAAAAACACAGTTAAAATAAAGGTCCTGACTCAATGAAATGAAGCTAAAAAGTTTAAAAAGAACTTCATTGCAAAGCCTAAGAATCACCAAACTTTATATTTACTAGGTTATTACAGAAGTAGATTATTAAAGGAGGGGTCAGTCAGGTATTTTTCTATTTCAAATACAGAATTCATGTTTTTATCTTATTTGAAAAAAAATTCCTTAGTTCACTTAACGGAATGCTATAGAGTTATGGCTTTCACACTTTTTGACTATTACTCATTGTAAGAAATATAATTTAAATTATGACTGGTTTTGTGTGTGTGTGTGTGTGTGTGCATGTATGTAACTAAAAAGAGTTTCATGAACCATAACTTCTCCTTTTCAAGGGCTACGCATTCTGATATTTTGTATCTTACACTATTCTACTCCATTAAAAAATGCTGGTCATGACGCACTAAGCTTATTTTACAACACCACAGTCTGAAAAATACTAACCTGGAAGTTAAAATATGGAAAATATACACTGAACACTAGCATGAATAAAGGATATATTAAATCCTAACATAAGAAGTGATGATACAAATTTGGAGTCTATTCTAAGAGAAGCTTCTAAGATTCTGTTCCATAGTGAAAGGCTCAGCTTTCCAATTTAAGACTCTCTAATGATGATGATGATGATTATTTGTTAAAAATATCATTATTCACTATTATATATTTTGTTAACTTCCACAAGGGTAGATTATAAAACAACTAAAACACAGTGAGAACAATATTGAAAAATCTTGCTTAAAAATAATTTTTTTAGCCTTTTAGTGGTCAATCATTTAAATAATGCCAACTTTAATAAATACCTGAACAAGTTTGTCAATTCCCAGAGCTCTGTCTAATTCAGCCAACTCAGTTTCATCTTTGCCACTGAGGAAGGATACCAGCTGTTCAAGAAGAGCCTTCTCATCATTTCTTCCTTCTATTGTTGTTGGTGGACAGAGAAGCTCATCTAATTGTGAACTAATACACTGGCTGTGGAATTAAAAGGTAAAGTTTAAAACTGTAGAGCAAATAATTATTCATTTTTAAGAATGCAAATACACACAACATACATATATATGCAAATCTAGTTCTAGAAAATTTTCTGATACACTTAATGTACAGAAATTTATGAACATATTTTTCATTATTTTGTCAATCACTGAACTTTGTCTCCATATTCTTCATGTTAGCTTAGAGAAATAGCCTAAAAATTAACTAAACATAGTTAAGAAAGGAAAAAGAATTTTTAATAAAAGTAAAAGTAAAAATCAATTAAAACCTCAGAAAAAAATCATTTAGCCTATATTAAATTTTTTCTGCCCTGGTCAATGTGGCTCAGTTGGTTGGGATGTTGCCTGGTACAATGAAAGGTTATGGGTTCGACCCCCCAGTCACAGTGAGTGCAGGAAGGCAACCGATCAATGTTTCTCTCTTACATGAATGTTTCTCTCTCCCTCCCTCTCTCTCTCTGCCTTCACCTTTCTCTAAAAATCAATAAACATGTCCTTGGGTGAGGATTGGGGAAAAAAATTTATTCTATGGATGCTATTAATTACTGATAATTGAACCACAATCAAAATAGTATTTGCATTATATTACCTAACTTGCAAAGATGATCAAATCATGTTGATAACATAACACAATTACCATTTACAAAAGAACTCAAACTAGAAAAATGAAACATATTCAGGGTTAAGCAATAAAACAAATTGTTGACTACATGTAGGAAATACATAATCTAATCCATACCGATATCAAATGATGCATAAAACTTAGATATGTGCAGAAAATAATACTAATATAATAATACAATTATAGGTACTCTTTGGGGAAAGCAAATGGGAACACATTCGATGTGTCCACAATGAAGGCTTTAAACCACACTCAGTACTAGCTAGTCATCTTTTGGTTGCTATATATGAGATGTACTCTGTGTTATGAAACAGAGCTACTTGTACTGATTAGAAATTAAATTCTAATCAAGATGGGACACTAAGTAGATATAGAAAGTACCTTCCTTCCTTACACCTTCTTGCTCCAAACGAAGAGAAAAGCTGGACAAAATAATTATCTAACTACAAACTCAAGAACAACATGATTGTTGTATGGAGGCTAATTCATCCATAGGTCTCAGAAACTTTATGGTAATCAATCAAAGCAAAGTAAGAGATTAAAAATAAACCAACAGCTGCATCAATCTCTTGGTAATTACAATATACACTAGTCTTGCAGTCATGCAGTAAATAAATCTGTTTAACTCCATCCTCCCCCATCCCCTTTTTTCATTATCATTCACTTCTGTTAACATCTAACAAAATACCAGTATACACTGGAATCCATTTTGGGAAAAGCAGTTCTTTGTTGTAGTAGTTGGTATCTTATACTTTATAAAATACAAAATGTATTACTCACTCTTCTGGTTTGTTCTGATTCACAGCTGTCACTGTATTATTTGCCCATGGAATCTGATCACCTGTTCCTGGTTGTCCAAACTGATTATCAATTGCTTCCAATTCCAGCTCAGGTAATCCTAATTGAAGAAGCAAAAGTAAGAAGTCAGTGTCACAATGGAAGATAAAATGATGACAATATTTTTCATAAGTAATACATAGCAAAGTAGAGTGAGATTTCAATTATAAAATATTACCTCAATGATACAGAGGTTACTTATTCAGAAACTTGAAGCTATCGAGAATGTGGCCACATAACAAGTAAAAAACAAAGTGAGAAAAGGTCCATGAATCAAAGAAAATCTGATGTTAAAAGTTTGCACATAAACTGATGTTACCATAAGAGAATCATGCCAGACTCTGTTGGAAATAATTATAACAATTTTGGTTAACTGATTTTTCTGGCTAAAGTAGTGACAGTGTTGTTATCATGATATGAGAGCTGTAAGCAAAAGATAAAATATATTGTATAAAAGGCAGGAACGGAAACTAAAGGGTATAACGGTCTAGGCTCATTCAGTAAATGGACAAAGCTCTATAGCTATTAATCTGAAAATATAATAGTATAATAATTGACACTTATAATGACAAATGAAAAAAGAGGCTGAAATGTTTTCTAATGGAAGAAAACAGTATATGCATTTTAGACAGTTTTTGTATGGGATTTTATTTTTGAAAGCTTTGATTATTTCTGTACTACTTATACTAGAGAAAAAAAACTGTAAATAACCCAAATTCTAGAAATTTAGAGAGTGATAAATAAATAATGGAATATATATTTACAATGTGCTATTAAATGAACAAGAAAAAAGCATTATCCAAGATATTATGTTCAGAATAATTCTATTTTTATAAACAATTTCATATATTCTCAGAAAAAAAATTCTGGTAAGCTATCTATCCTTGGTAGATTTTAGTTAGTGAGATTAAGAATTACTTTTCTTTTAAGGTTTCTAATAATTGTTTATAATTTCTAAAATGAACATATATTAATTATTGTTATGGACTGAACTGTATTCCCCCTAAATTCATATGTTGAAGTATTAACCCCGAGCACCCCAGAATGTGACTATATTTAGAGATGATTAAGTTAAAATAGGGTCATTAGGGTGGGCTCTATGACTGGTGTTCTTATAAGAGGAGATTAGGACACAGACAGCACAGAGAGAGGGATTACTGACCACCAGGACACAGCAAAAACGCAGCCCTCTGCAAGCCAGTGAGAGAGTCCTCCAAGAAAACCAACCTGCCCACACCCTAACTTTGGACTTCTAGCCTCGTGAGCTGTGGGAAAATAAAGTTGTTTAAGCTACCCAGTTTACGGCAGCCTGAGAAGACTAATATAATTTTTAAAAATCAAAGTATAGTTGACACACAATATTATATTAGTTTCAGGTGTGCAACACAATGATTTGACATTTATATATCTTACAATATATTCACCATAAGTCTAGTAACCATCTGTCACTGTACTAAGTTATAACTTTTTTAAAAATACTACAAATGGGAGTTTTAAGAGAAAACAATTAGGAAGACTTCATCAGTCTAATGAATGGAGAATAAGTAGACAGGATGCTTTAAAATGTACTTAATGCTGGATATTGATAATTTATAACTATATAAAACATATTAGACTCACTTTTACATGGAATATACTTAATATTTAGTATTATAGGAGTTCATATAAGAACATGCACTTCTAAATGGAAATAATTACAGCTTTCAATTATTAACTTGTCTTCTGCCCCTGGCTGGTTTGGCTCAGTGGTTAGAGCGTCGCCCCTGACCAAAGAGTTGTGAATTCGATTCCTGATCAAGGGCACGTGCCTAGATTGCAGGTTTGATCCCCTGCCTTGGTTGGGGTACCTCAGGAAGCAAGCAATCAATGTGTTTCTCTCACATTGCTCTTTCTCTCTCTCTCTCTGTCTTTCCCTTCTCTCCCTCCTTCCATTCTATCTAAAAATCAATGGAAAAATATCCTCAGGTGAGGATTAACAAAGAAAAAAAATAAAAACCTTGTTTTCTCTATCATGATAAATGACAGAGAACTTGAATTCTGTAGGATTCTGAAAAATGAAACAAATAATAATAAATGGTGATGGGCCCAGCCAATGTGGCTCAGTGGACTGAGCATCATACCATGGACTCAGAGGTACTGGGGTTTGATTCTCGGTTAGGGCACTGGCCCAGGTTGCAGGCTTGGTTCCTAACAGGGGGTGTGCAGGAGGCAGCCAATCAATGTTTCTCTCTCACACTGATGTTTCTATCTTTCTCTTCCCTCCTCTCTCTCTAAAAAAAATCAATGAAAACATTTTAAAAACAGAAAAGTAAATGGTTACGGGAAAGTAATCACTTGATTCCTATCATTATTTAAATCAGGAAGTTGGTTAAAGAAGATTATCTAAAGCCGTCCTAGTATTCTGCTCCACACTTAATCCCTCATTCTGATATTCCCTTTAAGAAATTTAATCTAGACAACATTAATAATATTTAAGAGTCAAAGAAAATTTATATGGTTGTCTACCATCAATACTGAATATTATAAGACCATTTATTTGAGTCAATAACAGTATACAGTATCTCATTTTACCAGTCTTGATGGGGAAAATGTTAAGTCTATGAATTGGATAAAATATTTCCTAAATAAAATAAGATTCATATGCTACGTTTGGTGACTAGGGAGGAAAGTCCAAACAAATCAAACTTTGATTCAATTAAAAGTTTTGCTTGCATAAGCTGTATGCTAAAAAAGATGTTGATTTTTATTCTAAAAGTCATTTCAGCCTTTTAGGACTTCCTTTAGAAATGGACTTCTATAAAAAATTCAAGGATTTGCTGGAATGTTTTAAGAAATAAGTTATTTCTCTTTGCCCAGGAAATAAACCTACTAATTTTGGTCATGTTTATGTCCCTATCACAAACATGAGTAATTATGTGTACATGTTACACAATGCAGGCACGGTAATTTTTTTATGACCCAGAAAGTGAAAATTGATAGAGAAGAGAGCTGAGAACTGTTTTGTATCCTCTGGTATTGAGAAGATGAGAAAAGGACTGAGGGGTTCCCTTGAAACTTTCAAATCTTCCCTTAGAAATAGAGCTGCCATAAGCAGAGATGGATCCAGGCCTCATGACTTTCATTTAAGAATATTCATTTTAGGCCAAGAAAAGGCAACTCAGGTAGAAAGTGAAGAAAGAAGCAAGAAAATATTTTCCAACATACTGATTACTCCCTTTCCTTTCCTGCTCTTCCTCCTACTAAACTACTTCCTTGACCTCACCCTTCTTTTTTAAAAGAAGCATTTTTAATTTTTTTAAAAGAGGCATTTGAAATCAATGCATCTACTCCTCCCTTTATGGGAGGGAGACAGATGAAGTGGGGGTAGAAAACAAACCCTTAGGTAGAAAACAGACCCTGATAAAGCTCTTAATGTATGATCTTTGCAAAAGGAGCAACATATTTTCTCCATTTAAAATTTGGTGATAAGGGAAACTTTTTATCTCCATTAGCTACACTATACCCAGGAAAACAAAACAAAACAAAATGTTACATTATTAAAAAAATTTCTGCATATGAAACATTGTCTAACCATGGGAGTGCCCTTTGCACATTTCTTCCTCTAACAGTTAATTCAGCATCTAGTAACTGATGCTCATAGTGTATTTTCTTTGTTGCTGGTAAGGAGGGCTAGGGTTCGGTTCTGTGTTACATTTGGCAATAGCGATGCACAGCAACAGTTAGTGTTTTATTTTTTTAAATATGATGTAGACAGAGGACTAACTTCTCTAATGTACACAAAAATTCCTATAAACCAAATAACCCGGTAGATAAATGGTCAAGGAATATAAACAGATCACATAAAATCAGGGACAAGTGATCAACTTAATTCACAGGAAAATAAATATGGATTAAAACTCATTGAGATATTAAAAAAATAAAATTATCAGATTGGCAAAGATGAGAAATTGCATAATTCAATATATTGGCAAGGACGTGTGGAAACAGGAACATTATCAGGGAGAGTGCAAACTCATATAATATCTAGGAAGGGCTATTTGGCAAATCTATCCACCCTTTGACCCAGCAATTCTATTCAGAACTTACATTTCAGACATATGTAATAAATTATCTCTAAGTAAGATTATTCATTACAGCTTTGTAATTGCAAAAGATGCCTACCAACAGGCATAACACACTAAATACAACCTAAAAAGCAGGGACATTAAAATAGATTTTTTAATTACTGAAAATATTTTATGTAAAATGTTATTTTTGGAACTATGCGATATTTTTAATGTACTATAAATTAACAATGTTTTTAAAACAATCATTTGATAATGTGTATGTTCACAGAACATAAAAACAACTACCTCAGGAGGTCATTTACTTACTCCAGTTATGTTATCAATGTATGAATATTTTTGGAATTCTTCTAAAACTATCTTAACCACTTTATGAGTCCTTCAAAAAATACATCTCCTTATAATTACATTGAATTTTGGGTTTGATATATTTTTTAAAAGTATTATTCTTTTTGGATCAACAAGCTTGGCTCCAAATAACTTCAGACAACATCAAGTCAAATCCACCCTCAAAGGATCAGGGTTTAAAGAGTGTCAAATGACCTACAGCCAACATCATACTCAATGGTCAAAAATTAAAAGCATTTCCCTTAAGAACAGGAACAAGACAAGGATGCCCACTTTTGCCACTCTTATTTAACATAGTACTGGAAGTCTTAGCCACAGCAATCAGACAGGAAGAAAAAATAAAAGGGATCCAAATTGGAAAGGAGGAAGTGAAACTGTCATTATTCGCAGATGACATGATACTATATGAAGAAAACTCGAAAGACTCCATCAAAAATTTACTAGACTTAATAAATGAATTTGGTAAAGTAGTAGGATACAAAATTAATGTCAAGAAATCGACGGCATTCTTATACACCAATGAAACTAAACTAAAAGAGAAACTAAACAGAAAGAGAAACTAAAAAAACAATCCCATTTACCATCACAGCAAAAAAATTAAGATACCTAGGAATAAACTTAACCAAAGAAATAAAGGACCTATTCGCAG